AATTTATTGCCTGCAGCAATTGAAGAGTATTGTAGATAACGAATCTCACTGCTTTAGTCCCATTCTTACTTCAAATTTTCCTGTTATACTTCCTTCGATCCTTACTCTATTGTCAGTCCTGATTAAGGTCATTTTTACTAATCTGATCATGTTTTCTAGAATTCCAAGTACTCTTAGGGTATGGTATAGATGCCTTCCTATCACAGAATCGTAAGCTTGTATGACATCTTTAAAGAGGAGATTTAGCTTTAACTGTTGCTCGTACGTAGTGCTTTGAATAATTTTTAAGATGAATATTGGATATATGGTGGATCTGCCCTTTTTGAATCCTCCCTGGTATTCACCAACCTGCTCGTTTAAGTGCCTTTCCAGTCTACTTCTTATGACTCTTACGAGTACCTTATATGTTACATCCGAAAGAGTAATACCCTTGTAGTTTTCGCACACTGCTTTATCTCCTTTCTTATGAATGAGACATACTATTGGCTCTCTCCATACTTCCGGGATTTTATCTCGCTCTCAGATTTTCGTCAACAGGCTACATATCCATGTTATGTGATTCTTCCCCATGCTTGAGTAATTCTGCAGGAATACCATTGCTACCTAAACTTATGATTTCTCTTATTTCTTCCACGATGGGAGTCTCCATTGTTTTCACCGTGTCGTTGCCTTCCCCTACTATTTCCACTCGCTCCTAATCTTTTCTATCCGGTTCTTCATTAAGCGGCTCTCTGAAATGCTCTTGCCATCTATCTAGCTTTCCCTGCTGCTTTCTTTATAGCTTTTTCTATTATTCCCCTCTCCATTTCGACGTCACCTTGATTTTCGCTTTGAAGTATTTTTGCTGACACGTTTCTCACTATTACATTTTGTAGTAGTGATTTTTAATATGTGATTTCATGTCAAATGACCCCCTAAAAATATATTTTATATTATGAATGTGTTGCCTGTGTGAGTCCATTTCAAATAGGTAAAGAAATAATAAATAAGACTTACTCACAATCAATTTAATTTAACTATCAGACGACCGGTTTCGCTTTCTATAATTTGCAAAGCATCTTCAGGTCTCGATAAAAACCCATATTAGGGTGTTGTCTAATAAAGATAAACAAATTAGATGTTATAAATTACAATAATATGCCAATATTACATGTCTGGTTTTATTTCAAAATGAGTAAATTGAATAAAAGGTATAAAAAGTTTTAAAAGTTTAAACAGACAAGGTAAGACCCACAAATTGTTATAAAATAGTCTATTAAATTGTAATAAATTAATAAATGAGCAAATAAATAAACATTACTTACATGCCGGTACTCTATTAATTGATGGATGGTAGAACATGGTTGAAACTATTATGTATTGTTGAATGGAGAACTTAATTCTGCTATTGTAGTTGTTTGACAGTAAACGGGAAGTTCTTGAGGATGAGGAGTTGTTCTGTCAAACAACTACAATAGCAGAATTAAGTTCTCCATTCAACAATACATAATAGTTTCAACCATGTTCTACCATCCATCAATTAATAGAGTACCGGCATGTAAGTAATGTTTATTTATTTGCTCATTTATTAATTTATTACAATTTAATAGACTATTTTATAACAATTTGTGGGTCTTACCTTGTCTGTTTAAACTTCTAAAACTTTTTATACCTTTTATTTAATTTACTCATTTTAAAATAAAACCACAGACATGTAATATTGGCATAATTATTGTAATTTATAACATCTAATTTGTTTATCTTTATTAGACAACACCCTAATATGGGTTTTTATCATTTCAGCATTTGTTTAACTTTGTACCGAGACCTGAAGATGCTTTGCAAATTATAGAAAGCAAAAGCGGTCGTCTGATAATTAAATTAAATTGATTGTGAGTAAGTCTTATTTATTATTTCTTTACCTATATTTTGAATTATTTCGTACAAATTCTACATATTTCCACATTTTTTTGATAGAAAATTTCAGGTGGCACAAATACCTTTTCAAAAACAGATAGTGGTACCATGTCAAGAAAGATTGGCCGCTCCTGTAAATAAACTAATATTCGGAGCATATTTTCTCTATTTTTAAATATAAACTTTTTAGTTTTTGGCAATCCAATTTGATTTATTTCAAATATAACTAGATAGTCACACTATGCTACTGTAAAACTCCGCCACTGATGTTTATTGAGTAAGTAAAAAAATTACGGAAAGGTTTCATCGCATTATAATTAGTTTTTACAGTAATTATGGGTTAGAGGACTTTGCATGTGCCGTAAAAGGAGTGGAACTGTGAAATACAAATCTCGGCTCCGGTCTAAATAATATTACTTGTTAGTTACGAATATTCACTAATATTGAGTGTAACTAACAATCGAAAAGCGATGAATCATTGATATGATGAAAGAAGTTCGTAATCTCGTTACCTTAGTTATAACAGTTAACGATGTAAATTATACGGTAGCATATTTTAACCATTACGAGAATGTTTGAATACACATAAGAGAAAAATCAATTAGAAAATACCATATGAGCACCTCATGCAACAAATATTCTCTAATTAACACTATGGGTATAATTTGATATCTTAGAGGCCATGGGTTATCTACTGTGTTATCAGCAACTGTCTTAAGCCTTTATTTATATAGAATTCCTGAGAGATACTTTCAAAGTCATTTAAGAATTCTCTTCTATTCTCTCTTAAGAGATTTTCGCAATAGGATTTCCACTCTTCCATTGAAATCAGGTTCATTCCTGCAGTATGTTTATGTTGGTTTCGTATTCCCTTGATAACCGTCCATGCTTTATCCGGGAGGCCCTCCAAAAACCATTCTGTCCTTGTAATGCACTCGAGGAAAAAACAAGAACGGTAGAACTGCGTTCCCTATTGCATTAACTGCTGCCCTCTTTCAGCAGCAGTTGCACTACCGATTTGTTTCATCCCCTTAAGTCCGACTATTTTTGAATGGTTCTGAACAGTACTCATACTGTTTCGTCAGTATTCCAAATCTGTTCCGGTGGAATTGGCCCAAAAAGTTTATAAAACGTCTCTTATCTTCTTCTTCTTTTTATATAGACATGACTGTCTGTTTTTCAATATACCTCCAGTAAGTTGTCATTCCATCGTTTTCGCGGTCTTCCTACTGATTGTGGAACCGTCTCTTACCGTCTTTACTACTCTATTTGTTGTCATTTGGCTTATATGTTCGTTCCATTGTACTCTTCTATTTCTTACCTTGTTGATGTTCGCCTTACATCTACGTCGTATATCCGTATTTCTAGCTCTGTCTCATAGTGTCTTACCATCAATTTTTCTAAGTGTTTTCATCTCTGCTGTTTCTAACATCATGTTTGTCCTCTCTGTGTCAGGTCTTGTTTCTGCCGCATATGTTATTATTGGTCTGATGAGTCTTTTGTAAATTCAGCCTTTCATTTCTTTCCCGATATTTTTATTTCTCAATATTGTTTCATTCATGCTGCCTGCGGCTCTGTTTGCTCTATTCACTAGTAGAGCTTTGCGTTTACCACAGCCGGTCCCAAGCCTGGATAAAATCTGAATGGTGATTGGCAAGGTTAGCAATCCTACCAATCGTAAAAAAATATTGCTCAAAGAAACAATGTACAACGTCTCTTATGTTCGGAAAAAAACAATGCACATTGTGGCAATTGAAGCTCGTGGCACGGTTAAGACTTGGATACACGTAACAAGTATCGGTGAATACTTGTTTCACCACATAGTTTACAGAATATTCAAATTTAACGGCCCCACTTATATTTCTTTAAGTGCCTAGTTATTGTAGACCTGCTCACTTTGAATACTTTTTCCGCTTTTCGAAACGTCGATCTCTTGTCGGTTTCTTCATTAATTATAACTTTCGATTGTGTTTTGCAATGCATCAGCATTTATTGGTTCCCTTTTGATACCTGTTTTGCTTCGTGTCATGATGAAGTACAATCTATAACAAACAAAAATTGCTGCAAACTATTGTACCCTGAGCCGATCTAAGGTACAAGATGCAGCTTGGCTTCAAGGTACACATGTATGCAAAAATAAAAAATGACTACCCACACCAAACCTTTCACTAAATGATAAATATATTATGCTCTTTTCTCTTACCAAGAGACAGACTACTACTCAATTTGCCACTGATTAATATTGATACTGTTTTGCACAATCCACCCACACTTAACTATACTTGAAAAGCTTTACTTTTGCTCACAAAAACAATAAAATTATCAACACTTCCGACAAAGAAGGCGAATGGCCATATAACTCCGTTAAGCTCAGTACGAACGTATCATGGCTACCTAAGTACGATGATTACTCGGTCCTTAGTGGTACTAGTCGGATATGATATACTGTGGCGCCAGGTAGACCATGGTCAAGGTACAACGGTCTCCCCTATTATCCGTTTCTAAGTTGATTTCTTGGTATCTCTCTTGTCAATTTTTTTGCCTCATTTTGTACACTTTGCCTCTTCTTGTCATTATAGATTACTCAACCTGCACGATTTGTGTACTTAGCCATTTCCTATAGGCATAACCCTTGAATATTCCCTGATCCTATTTGCAAAGTCCTTTTCATCGCTAGTTTTCGTCAACTTCGTCAACATCAAGAAATCCTTCAATTGTGATTTTTTATAAGTGATAAGTTGCAGACCCATCGCCTCAACACCTAATCAGGAGAACCAGCTTATTGTTGATCAAGGTTGTCTTCGGTGATGATGATCCAACGCCAAACTCCAAGGAAACCTCACAGATTGCTATCATCCGGGCCAGATGAGCCCTAGATTTTTATAGAGGTTTTACTCTTCTATTCCGCCTACTTCCTCATCCCTTGGCATCAGGCTTGGGACTGGCATAGCGTAAATAAATAAATTACATCTTGTTAATTTTTTTTTTTTTTTCGAATAAGGCTTTATTTACTGAGATGCTTAAATTAAGTATTTTTTCTGATTTTTAATTGCAATCTTTGTATACAGAGGTACCTATATTAATTTACTGATAATTTTTTTCAGGTCTGTTAAGTGCTGGTGCTATGGGTCTATGGCACGGAGTAGAATATTACGAAAAAGAAAAACAAGTAGGTGAAGAATTTTACCAACAGTGGAATACTGTAAGTATATTTTTCTTGGTATTTGCACTTAATACAACCAAACTATTGAGAAACTATCGACATTCTAGAGGATTTTTTACTTTTTTTTATGGATATATTTTGCGTTGTTTACCTTTTTCAAGCAGTACAGTTACTGTGGTGTTAATTGACGATTAGATGAAGATCACAGTTTCTGAAGTACCATCGAGCATTAACGATATTCCTTAATAATTTATTCTGATATCGTTGTATAATTTGGGACGTTACTTTCTTTTGTACAGTCACATAGCTGTCTCTCATATGTCCATATCGGTTTAAGGACTTGGTTATACAATAACAATTTGTTATAAGTAGATAGAGTGGATTTTTTTTCCATCAACCAGTACATCTTTCTGAACTTAATTTCTAATTCCTCCTTTTTTTTTAATATGTGCCTTCCAACGTAGCTTGGAATATAATGATATACCATTTGGTATTTGGTTTCTATTTATACTAACTGGGATATGCTGTTCTCTTTTGTTAGTAAAATTGACATGAACAAATTTTGTTTCATTCAATTTGATACGCCATCGCCTGGTCCAGATGTTAATTTGTTCAACAGAGTTCTGTAGCATGGTTACTGCATCCTCGTAGTTTTGTCCTAGTGCTAGAATGCATATGTCGTCTGCAAATGCCGCAATTGTCTTAAGTTCTAATGATGGAATATCGCTGGTATAGAGCAGGTATAGCACTGGCTCCAGGACACTTCCTTGTGGAACTCCAGCTTTAACTTCTCTTAATTCTGAATATGCTTCCTCATATTTTACTCGAAAGTATCTGTCGGGTATATATGACTCTAGTAGTTTAGAATATTGTTTTGGTAAGTAGCATCTCATTTTATGATATAATCCGTCATGCAATACTTTGCGAAAAAAAAACAGTCTTTTCCTTCTTTTAGAGGTTTTTCTACTACCTATATCTGTAATTCTATGCACCTGATCTATCGTTGAGTAACTTGCTCTAAACGCAAAATGATGATTAGGAATTATATTTTCTTTCCTCTCTAATCGGTTTTAGTCTCTTCAAGAGTAATTTTTCGAATAATTTCGACATGACAGGTAACAGTGAAATAGGCCTATATGAAGAAGCTTCTTGTGGAGGTTTTCCTGGTTTTAGTGTCATTATAATTTCTGTCACCTTCCATATATTTGGTACGTACCTCAGCCTAAAGGAAGCGTTTATAAGATGTGTTAATTTTATTATAGCTTTTCTTGGAAGTTGCTTTAACACTTCCCCAGTAATTAGATCAAATCCAGGAGCTTTCTTTGGTTTTATATTTTCTTTTATTTCCAAATAAGTATACTTTTTTTGGAGTTACATGACTAATTTCCATTTCATCTTGATTAGGGAGCTCCCAGTTAATTATTTCTTGTTCTTCATTTGGTTGAAAAGTTTTTTTGTAGCTGATCAGCAAACCTGTTGGCCTTTTGTATATTGCTTCTTGCCCAGCTACTATTAGAATTTCTAATTGGTGGATTCTGTAAGATTGGCGTTTTTAATCGTTTGGTAACTTCTACAATGAGTAATCAGTAGCTATCATTTGATAGTTCACTTAAGTAGATGCTAACCAATTCGTTTTTTAATTTTTTTAATTTCTCTTTTTAATTTTTGTGTGGCATTATTTAATATAGTTTTATCAACTGGTGCTCTAGACTGATGCCACTTGCGTCTCAGTTTTCTTTTTTCGATTATCATTTCTCCGATTTCTTTTGGATAGATATTTCCTTTTATTTTTTCGACACACGTCGATATATAAAATGAGTACACACTCATTTTATATTGGAATGCAAGTTTCATAACATATTGGTTTAAATATAACTTATGATTTTTACTGTAAAAATGGTTAAAGAGTCTTAAAATTACACACTTTTTTGTTGAAATTACTTAATATAATGAAAAAACTGTGTTTTTTCATTCTAATAAGTGGGTTTCAATTAAAGTTTTTACTATCTGTGTCAAAGATACAACCAAAAACACTATCGTAGGAGTATATTACATAACACTCATCTTCGAATACGATAGTTTTTACGTTTATTTCAGTCAGGATGCCATAAAAGTTGTTAGACAAAACCATATTTTCCTACATATTGGCCTCAAGCTTTAATTTTCCATTGTTTCGCAACCTTGCCCACATAATGCTAATCACAACTTTTTTTAAGTGAAAGTTTTAAGTGTAAATTGTCAGATAATTTTTGCATATACCTAGATACTCAGTTATTTTACGTATTAGCATATTTTAACCTTAAAATAATGTAGCTATTGTTTTACATGAACCATTAAGATTAGAGGTAGTGGCGAGTATAGAGAGTAACCATTCGAAATAACGGTGTTAATATAAAAGTGAATTCGACGGTCGTAATATATATATATATATATATATATAATATATATATATATATATATATATTGTACCGTTTTTAATAAAACGATTGGTTCTTAGGGACTAAGAGAATATTAGAATATTCTGGAGTAGTCCACCTCTATCCTTCACGTTAAAAGCGCATCGAGAATGCCAACGATCGAATATTGCAGATCCATATTGGAGATGGGCTATTTCCTTACACTGCTCCCCTCCTAGATCTGAACGTCCCGATCAGCGACTTTACATGAAGGCCCAGTATGGCGGAATCTACAAGACTCTCCATGTATTATTTCGGGCAAGTTCATGAATGTTGTTCATTCTTAACTTTAGGCGGTCGAAATAATCTTCGCTTGCAACATGTTCTTCGGAAGGTCTGCAGCCAAACTCTAGGTCGCAGGCAAACGAACTTCACGAGTTGGCAGGTTGGAGTCTGGCCTGTAGTTTCATTCGCGGCCCGTAGTTTCATACGCCATTAGGGATAAATGAATGTGCTGGTCCCAATCTCTTTGATGTTCTGATACAACTTTGCACAGGTGTTTACCCATCGTTCGGTTCATCCTCTCGACCATTCCATCTGCTTGAGGATGCAGGGTTGTCGTTCTAGTCATATTGACACCACTCAATTTACAAACGTTTTGGAAAAGGGTTGACTCGTTTCGCCCTTGGTCGGAGTATATCTTCAAGGGAACACCAAATCGGCTAAAGAATTCTTTAACAAGTACCTCTGAAACGGTAGCAGCTTCTTGATTTGGTATCGCATAGGCCTCAGTCCATTTCGTAAAATAATCTATGGCTACCGGAATATATTTATTGCCGTTAATTTTCTCTGGAAGTGGACCTCGAAGTCGATTGCTACTCTTTCCATAGACCTAACAGCATTGTACTGCTTCATGGGTGCCCTCTGTTTACTAACTGGACCATTACTGGCACACAGTTCGTATTTCCGACAACATTTTCTTACATCATCTTTACAGTTCACCCAATAGAACCTTCTTCAGTCAAGAGTCTTCGTAATATCAAAGTGTCCACCTGATGCACCGTCATGCAACTGACGCAATACTTCTGACACTTTACTTTTAGGTACAATCAATTGAAGGTTAGATTCTATACCATCATCGTTCTCAAAGGTTCTATACAGAAGATCATCTTTTAGCACTAGGCAGGTCCAGTAACACTTGACTTCTGGACTACGTGCACTAATGTCTTGCCAAGAAGGTCTTTCACTTCGACACATCCAATCCAATACTCTTTTTATACATGGATCTTCTTCTTGAGCACCTTGTAGTTGTTGAGGCTGCCACTGATCATTACTGACGGCGGTTCGTCTCACGGGACAAAGTCGTTTTCTAATTTAAGACAGTGATTACAATTTGCACTGCACGGTCGTCTCGATAGAGCATCAGCATTTAAGTGAACTCTTCCAGCCCTGTGTTCGATCTTGTAATCATATTCTTGTAATCGTTCTAACCATCTTGCCAATTGTAGAAGCCATTTTAGAGCGGCGTGTTCCGTACGAAGAAGAAACTTTCTGCCATACAAGTATATATGGAAATGCTCGCAAGCCTTCACTACTCCTATGCACTGATCAGAGTTATGTGTAAGTGTTCAAAAACTCTTTGACACTCTTCGCTCCATGTATATTCTTTGCCTTCTTCTGTCAACTTTATTAATGGCTTGGAGATGTTGGCAAATCCTTTGACAAAATGTCGGTAATATGTACATAGACCAATGAAACATCTAATTTCGTGTTTATCTCTTGGTACTGGCCAATCCTTAACTGCTGCAAGTTTTTCAGGATCATCTGTTACACCATTACTTGCTACAATATGTCCCAAGTACTTCACTTCTCGTGAAGTAATGACATTTCTTTGGACTCAAAGTCGCTGCCCACAATCGTTAAAAGACTTCTGTGAGATTACAGACATGTTCATCGAAGGATCTTCCAACCACAAATACATCATCCAAATAAACCAGGCATGTTTTCCATTAAAGATGGTTTTAACATGCTTTTATTATTGGAAATATTTTTTTGCATGAATCAGGTAAATAAACCACTTGGGCTACAACAGAACAATGCATTGGCACAACTAACTCAACTTTAATTTTTGTATGACTTATTTTATATTCTGGATAAATCTAAACACATAAAAACGATAGTGTCTCAATAGTTTATGTAAGCATCACGCACTTCAAATTACTTTCGATATTTTATTTGATACGTAGATGTTGCTTTAAATAGATAATATCCCTGCCCCATCAATTTTTGTTTTACTTTTCAAATACAGATACTTCAAGAAAACACGGAAGTGAGTTACGAATGGAGTTTCATCCTGAGCTGGCTCGGAGTCTTCAGCTCCTTAGGCGCTTCGCTGCTCTTCTTCTTCGCCTCGTGCTGCATGGGTAACGAGAAAGAGAAAGAAGACCTCAACAATATTCAGTACCTCATGCCAGGTTGGTTTTAAAATATATCTTTTTTTCAAATTCTAGGTATTGCGCGACAACACCCGAGTCAACTACGAGTGGAGCTACATGGTAGCATGGGTTGGTGTAGGGTGGTCGCTGGTGGCGGCCATTTTGTTCTCCGGAGCAGCCATGTGCCTGCGAGGGGAGCGGGAACGCGAGGAGGCTATCAACATGCAGTACTTAATGCCTGGTAACTTAATGTGGATGGGGAAACCTATTTCTATTTACCAAAAACCATTAGAAGCTACCGACACAAAGGGCGTTAAAATTAAATTTCATGCTTTATGATATAAATTCAATATTTGAAATACACACCCGATTTTAGCCATAGGTTTCTTAAAATTTGAGACTATATTAAATTCATAGTGGGCTAAATCAGATGAGTACAAGAAAATCTGTTGGAGCTTTATTTTTTAAACATTTCTTGAACATAATATTCCTTAGTCAACTGAAAGCCAGGAAAGTGGTGCCATGAATGAAAAAAGATAATAAATTTCACAAGAAACAAGAACATTGATTTTCAACAAAACAAGAGATCGACAGTAGAATATGATAATATCTCTTTCTTTATGTGCCGTCTTCTACCGAAGATTGGCGACTATCAAACGATAGGTTTCTCTGTTTTGTGCCGCTAGTATTATGTTTGCAGCTTCTGGTATTTGAATCCATTCTCTCAAGTTAAGTTTCTCAGTCAGGATTTCTTCTTTCTGCCCAAACCGCTTCTATCTTCAATTTGCCTTCGACGATAAGCTGTAGCAGACTGTACTTATCATTATGGAACACATGGCCCAGGTATGACGCTTTCTTCCTTTTAACAGTTGTTAACAATTCCACCTCTTGGCCCATTCGTCTTAATACCTCTGTGTTGGTCACTCTGCCTGTCCAAGGTATTCTCAGTATGCGTCGATACAGCCACATTTCTAGAGCCGCTAACTTCTTTATAGTTGCTGCTGTTAACGTTCACCCTTCTACTCCGTAAAGTAGCGTAGAGAGTACGTAGCATTTCGTGGTACGCCATCGGAGGTTAACGCTTAGGTTGCCGTTGCTTAAGAGCTTTCTCATTTTGATGAATTTGGATCTTGCTATTTCAATTCGGATCTTAATCTCTACGTCTGGGTCCCACTTATCATTTACTGTATATCCCAAATATGTAAATCGGTGTACTCTTTCAATACGTTCGGCTTCAATATTCAGGTCGATATGTTGAATGTTCTTTTTACTGATCACCATAAATTTAATTTTCTTTCTATTGACCTTCAGTCCAAATCGGTTGCCAGTTGTATTTACTTTATTTAGCATCATCTGTAAATTTTCGATGTTATCGTCAGTATAACTATCATCTGCATATCGAAAATTACTTGGTACGCCATTAATCTTGATGTCCTCATTGTACTTTTCCAGTGCCTTTAGAAATCTTTGTTCCGTGTACAGGTTGAAAAGCAGTGGCGAAAGAATACAACCCTGTCTAACCCCCATCGAAATGGTTACGTTTTCACTCACCATATGTCCATTCTTTATATGTGCTGTTTGATTCCAATATAGATTTTTTATAATCTAGATATCCTTAGTGTCAAGTCCTGTAAGATGTAATAGTTCTATGAGTTTGTCATGTTTGATAGTATCGAATGCTTTCTCATAGTCGATTAAACAGGCGTAGCATCTTTCTGTTGATCCAGGCATTTTTTAATCAAGACTTGTATTGCAAAGAGGGGCTCTCGAGTTCCAAAACCACATCTAAAACCGAATTGTGTTTTACTTACACGTCTTAGAATTCGATTTCTTGGGAAGGGGCACAAATGTAGATTTCAACCAGTCCGATGGAATTTGACCAGTATCGTATATCTTATTGCCAATATAAAAAATAGCTATCACTTGCCCTTCTTGTCCTTGTCCTTCGGTGCCCTTTGATAAAACCGATGGGAATCAAACCATCGAATTAAGGACGAATTGTTCAATTTTGGCCCTTAATTCGATTAGAATGGCATGTATCCCAAGGGCCGATTTTTCGAACGCTAATCACAACTTGATTATAATCAAATATTTAATTACAATCAAATACGTTACAGCAGCTGTCAAAATTATTAAAAATTGCTTAATATTATTGATTTATAAATAAATACATGAAATTAACATCAGAAAGAGTTTAATTATGATTTATTTTAAATTAAAACGCAAAATAATAAGATTAAATAAAATAAATTAGTCAACATAACCTCAAAATGGTGACGTATTTGATTTCAATTAAATATTTGATTATAATCAAGTTTTGATTAGCGTTCGAACAATCAGCACTAAATCTAGGAAGAATCCACGAACAGTACATATTTTATTTGCATTAAGTTTTTATAAAAACCTATATTTGTTTCGGTAGCTTCTACTCGCCCCATTGTTTGTAATAATTATAGTAATAATTACTGAACTTCATTCAAAACACCATACAAAACTGTTTCGCTTCTCTGCTTTTTAAAGCTTTTGATATGTACAAAGAATAATTTTTTCATGTGATATATGTCTGTAAATAACATCTACATTTATTTATACATTTTTTATATATTTGTCATAAAACTAAAAGCTTAGTAAGATCAAGGGAACCAGTAAGGTTCAAGCTTGAGGTTGAAAAGCAAATGATAGAACAAGTGGCACAATTCAGCGAAGGAGCGGGATGACTTAACGACACAATATGGAGAAACTTGAAAACGGAAACAAAAGCGCGAATATACAAGTCTGTAATCCCGAGTACAATAAACCAGCATATCTATGTTTTATAGACCTGACAAAGGCTTTCGATCGCATCCAAGTCGAAGACCTCTTACACCTACTCTATAAAAGAAACATACCAATCAATATTATACAAAACCTCGAAAACATCTATTACCATAATCGAATACAGGCAAAGATAAATGGAAAACTAACAGAGTGTATATCAGTACAAAGCGGAGTCAGACAGGGTGACTCGTTAAGCCCACTTCTCTTTAATATAATAATGTACGAAATAATACAAGCAGTACGTAAAGGTCATGGTTACAGAATGGGGAACAAAGAGATCCAAATATTATGTTATGCAGACGACGCCGCATTACTCGCCGACACAGAAGACGAGCTCCAAAGATTAACACACATCTTCAATACAACAGCCAAGAAATACTATGTGATATCAGCAGAAAAAACCAAACGTATGGCAACATCTAAATACCCACTACGATGTAAAATCGAAATTGATGGGAAAATAATAAAGCAGGAAGCAAGGTTTAGATATCTGCGAATATATATAACTAGTTACGGAGATGTTAAAGAAGAAGTACGACAACAAAGCTTAAAAGCAAGTAAAGCGGCGGGATCTGTTAATAACGCAATCTGGAAGAACAAATATCTAAAACAAGACACAAGAACAAGAATCTATAAAGCAGCAATTAGACCTATATTAACATACAGGGCGTAGATTAGACCTGACACAGCTAAAAGGAGACGACTACTAGAAACAACAGAGATGAAAATACTCTGACAAATATCAGGAAAAAATCTGTTGGATAGGGAGAGAAGTGAAAACATAAGAGAATGCAATATAGAAGACATAAATGGATGAGTGACAAAATGGAAACAGGAGTGGAACGAACACATTAGTAGAATGGCACAGGATATGATAATACGAGTAGTACAAGATAAGTCACCAAATGGCCGAAGAAATATTGGCAGACCAAGTTAGAGATGGTGCGATAATTTAAATAATTTAATAGGCTAATATTGAAGAAAAAACAGGCTTTAAAGCCTACATACAAGAAGAAAGAAGAAGAAACAAAATCAAGTTCAGACACAAGCACGACCAGAACAAGGAGTAATGAGATGAGAGAAAAGATGGAATGATAATTGAATTGATGAAGATTCCGCTTTGGATCTCCTCTTGAGCCGCCACTCAACGGTCAGCTCAGAACTGGCACGGACTAGGGTCATTAGACTATCTAATTAAAACAGAGCATTGCGATGGCTCCAGTGGGTGTTGACACAATGTGATTTCTGCCCAGTGCTCTGAAAGCCAAAGCTAGAAATTCAAGTAAACGCCGGTAAGTCAAAGAAAAACTGGCAATTCGCCCATATGAAAGTAGAAGAAAAATATATAAACTTAAACTATGACCAATTCAAAAATGTATCACCAAGCGCAACTTGCAAAATTTGAAAAGTTTTGGTAATAGTTTTACTCAGTTTGACCTAAACAGGTTGCTTTTGATATAAATTCGACTTGGGATATAACGAGAGATTGTTTCGCTCAAAAATTCGTTCTACAAAAGCAGCTGTAATTGTGTTTTGGCAAAAATAGCAAAGCTTGTGCTGAATCACGTTAAAAAACGCTGCCAACCGCATTGCAATTCAAAAGTCCTGGATCTTAATGATCAGTCCTCATACTCAATAAAAAAAAATTACTAAGTTAACAGCAAATAAAGTAAAATAGAAATCAGATCAAAACTTTTTAATCGCTTTTAACTTGCAACGAACTGATCGGTGTAGTTATCTGAAATTTAAATAAATATTTGATTTCTTTTCTAATAACTTTAAAATGCATGACTGTATCTACTATATTTTCTTTTAACATTGTACATAATAATTAACCTTAGAAAGTGACATCTGCAGAAAAAAAACGATTTTAATTATAATTGTATAAATATTGGTTATTTAATAATAAAAAACACAGTAATCAAAACAACTCTAGCATGGCTAATGTTTGAATTGCTTATAATTGTCAGTATAGCTTTGACATATTGCTTGACTTCTATTAATTTTTATTTATAATTTGCTAAAGATGAAAATCATTGTGTTCAGATAATATCTTAAGTTCTCCATGTTTCTATATCGATGTACTTGGTACTCCATCTCATATCTCCATTGGTATCTGAGTTAAACCCAGTTCATCTATCTTGGGTCGGCTTGAGTTTATATTCGGTTTTCCTTTACTTTTCGTGTTTTTCCTCTACTGTTACTTTTGTAAACGACTACAATGTGTCCGACCATCGAACAATACTGATTGAAACGCGAAACTAGAAACTATTGACGAAACCAAAGTCTAGTTTTTTGCTTTAATATAACTTCATCTAATTTAGATAACGACTTACGTCATTATCTACGTCAGAGATCGAAGTTGACATAGTTGCCAAAATATAAAAAAATCCTGACTCCATTTTAAATCAAATAGATTACATAATTATTGCAAAAGTATTACCATCTCTTTACAACGACTATTTAAATTCTTACGTGACATTTTTGAAATAAAACACACTAATTTTGTTCTAAAAAGAACAGATTTTATTAAATAGTTAAAAATATAAAACAAGAGATATTCAATTTAAAATTCAAAATAATGAAGTACAAAAAGTGTCAACACCGCAACTGTCAAATTAGTGTTAGCAATTTATGCCAAAATTTTACCTTCGTTCGATTACAGTTACAGTGTTCCGAACAAATGCTCTTGATAAAAACGATTTATAATGCATTTATACAAATTAAATGAAACATATTATTGTGTATTTTTTTAAGTTAACATTATTAGAAATTTTTAAATATTATTTCTACGCGTATATAATAAAATATGTCTAGTGGCCGTAATGCCAGTGTACTCGGTAAAGTGATTCTAAAAAAGAACACACCTATACCCTAAATATTTAGTGTTGGTATCATGTGACGTCACAGGCTATGACGCTGATGACGTGCATCGTTATATAAATTAGATGAAGTGTATGTGCCTTCTAAGAATGGCAAGGCAAAACAAACGTTGATGATATAACGAGAGAAATGAGGAATCTAAAATTGCATTTCACAACATATCTCCTCGCAATTTTTGATTTATATAAAATAAGAATGAGTAAATATTTGTTTCTTTGGAGATTAATTGCAGTTAATTATAAGAATTTTTTTTTTTGGCAATTGCCCTTTGATAGACTAGGGGCTAGATTTGGCAATCGTCAAATCAATAGTTGCCAGATTGCAACAGATGTTTGCAATTAATCTCGAAAGAGACAAATTATTCGTTATTGTTTCATATAAATTAAAAATTGCTGAACTCATAAAATAATATAATCAGAATGTAGGTTCAGTTTACCGAAAGTACAAGCTGATTATAGCCGCAAATGTCAAACATGGAACAAAAAATTTCGGTATAGCAGTGTTGGCATGTTTTTATAATGTAGATTGTGTATGCTACAGATATAAAAAGATAAAGCTTAAGAAAAGTTACATTTTGTTTATATTATGTTTTGAATTCTGCAATTTTTGATTTATATAAAACAACAATGAGTAAATATTATACATATTATATATAACCGTTATTGCTTCATATAAATTAAAAATTGTAGAATTTATAACATAATATAAGCAAAATATACTTTTCTAAAGCTTTATCTCTTTATATTTGAAGCATACAATTATGCATTATAAAAACATCCCAACACTGCCAAACCGAAAGATTTTATTTCATGCTAGACATTTGCAGCTATATTCAGCTTGTACTTTCGGTAAATTCAACCCTTGGTGATATAAGTTTCCAAGTACTTAAAAAAGTAATTCTTCGATCGGTTGAAATCAAAATATGAATTTCATATTCAAACCATCTTTTTCTACTTCCCTGGCACAATTCACGAGATACTCGAGGTCTTACATATTCTAGGATAAAACTGCAGTGCCATCTTCATCTCCTAAAACTTCCTTAAATATTTTGTTAGAATAGAAATTAAACAGTAATGGTGACAGAGCGCATCCCTGTCTCACTCCGTTCTATTTGGCATTGCGTACTTGTATAATTACCATTTTACATTTGTTTTCTGTCTTAAATACAGAATTTTTATCATCGCATGTCTTGATTATCGACTCCAGTTTTTTGTAGATCATCAATTAGCTTAGTGTGTTATATATTATCGAAAATGTTATCATAATCTATAATCCAACACGAGCATCCAAAAAAATTCTTTTTCCGGAACTTGATCAGCAGTGTTTAATAAGTAAAATATGGTTTTGTACAAAATTGTTTTGATACACAACAGGATAAAACTTGCCTTATAAATAATTCTATTTGTATCATGTACCGGGTGGTCCAATAAGCCGATCTCTCGGCTATATATCAGAAACTGTTCATGTTATAACTTTAGGAGAAAAAATTACTTAGTAAAAGTGGCCAAGAGAAATCGCTGGAAATAACTTTCAAGAATCTGGATTTACCGCTAGGGGGCGTAACCTGCGAAGAAAATTTTGAAAACCAGTTTTTTGGGAAATATGTCCAATTATACCAAGTGTTAAATAAGTAAACTAGAAAGAGGCATAAATTCTGCACAAAGTTGTTCAAGTACTTTTTTTTATTTTTTTAAATATATGGTGGGGGAGAGTGGGAAAGTATTTGTGGATAAATACCTTTAACTTTGGTATGGATCAACCGATTTTAACAAAATTAGTGTCATTAGAAAGAGTATAGATGAATTAATTTACATCTACTATAAAATAATTGCATTTAGTTTTAATTGTCGTAGGTAGAGGGTACTTTCGAATAGAAAAAATTAAAATTTTGTTTTTCTTCAAATTTTTTAATAAAAACATCTATATATTGTAAATTATAATGGAACTGGATTCAATTCGTAACAAAATGGCGTAAACCGCATGTTAATAGCTTTTATCGAACTCGAGATATGAATAAAAAACGCATAAACATAAGTAAGTATAGTATTGACACACCCTGTATTATAAATTAAATTAAAAAATAAGTCAGTAGGTACTTTCAAAATTTTTTATAGTAGAAAACTCTTAATGTTGATGACTATTTTGACCATTGTTATTTCATATTATTAGAAATTGTTTTTTTCGAAACTAAGTAGGCCACGACAATGAATTTGACAGGGAGTTCGTATTGTTTATTTATTGACAGCAGTCAAAAATATTGTTAAGAAGTGTTATATGTATTATAATTCGAATTGAAAATTGCATTTTTTTTCAATAGATATTAATATTGGTAATATTAGTAAGTAATTATCAGTACTAATAATTCATAATGAGTATATCAAATTTTATGATATGATTGGAGTTTATTTCGAATATCACCAAAATGACGCTATTGCCTTACGTATATATTCTGTTAGATATCCTGGCAGGAGACATTGTGGCAAAGAAGTAGAGATTTCGGACTACTTATATGTGGATTCTGTTCAATTAAAGCAAGAACATTGATTAAATTATCTTCGGTCATAACTCTACTACGTCGTTTAAAACAAGGACGAGAAAAACTACCAGTTTCTCTTAATCTGTTTGCCTTTCTTTCAAATACTTCTTTGCCATAATGTCTCCTGTCAAGATATTTTACAAAATATATACGTGAGGCAATAGCGGCATTTTTTTGACATTCGAAATAAACTCCAATCATATCATACAATTTGATATTAATTACAAATATTACAAATATTAATATCTATTGAAAAAAGTGCAATTTTTAATTCGAATTATAATATAGCACTTCTTAACAATGTTTTGACTGCTGTCAATAAATAAACAATATGAACTCCTCGTCAAATTCATTGTCGTAGCCTACTTAGTTTCGAAAAAACTATTTTTTACAAAATAGGTATTAACATTAAGATTCTTCTGCTATAAAAAAATTTGAAAATGCCTACTGACTTGTTTTTTAATGTAATTTATAATACAGGGTGTGTCAATACTATACTTACTTATGTTTATGAGTTTTTATTCATATCTCGAGTTCAACAAAAGCTATTAACATGCGGTTTGCTCCATTTTGTTACGAATTTAATCCAGTTCCATTATAATTTACAATAAATAGGTGTTTCCATTAAAAATTTTGAAGAAAAACAAATTTTAATTTTTTTTTTATTTGAAAGTCCCCTCTACCTACAACTATTAAAACTAAATGCAAGTATTTTATAGTAGATGTGAATTAATTCATGCGCACTCTTTCTAATGACACTAATTTCATTAAAATCGGTTGATCCAAACCAAAGTTATAGGTATTTATCCACAAATACTTTCCCACTCTCCCCCACCCTTTATTTGAAAAAATAAAAAAAAAGTACTTGAACAACTTTGTGCAAAATGTATGCCTCTTTCTAGTTTACTTATTTAACACTTGGTATAATTGGGCATATTTCCCAAAAAACTGGTTTTCAAAATTTTCTTCGCAGGTTACGCCCCCTAGCGGTTAATCCAGAATCTTGAAAGTTATTTCCAGCGATTTCTCTTGTCCACTTTTACTAAGGAATTTTTTCTCCTAAAGTTATAACATGAACAGTTTATGATATATAGCCGAGAGATCGGCTTATTGGACCACCCGGTACAATTGCTTTGTACTATTCTATTCGAACTCAAAAAACGTAAATCTAATCTCCATTTTGTTTTTTAGTGTACCCACAAAAACAACAGTACGCATATGGAGGCTACCCTGTTCCTCAACCTTACGCAGGACCGTACTACACCACCGGCTCAGCGTACGGCCCCTACAACTACTGACAAAGTCGAAACAAATCTCTAGAAAACAAACGAACAACTTGAAGAGACTGATGTCTTCGAATTACCTGTTTTGTATTTAAATACAAAATATTTTTGATATTTAAGATCATATTGTTACAACGAAACTTTTGCGAATCGTAGATAGTAAATATAATGCTTACTGCAACCAATGTAAGAAACTCTAAACCTCTATTACTATATTTGGTTTGAAATTTTGTTTCAGATTAGGCAGTATATGTATATTGCTATATTTATTCGCAAATTTTTTTTTTGTACAGTAAAATGCTCAGGGTAAATGTTATTTTACCGTCTAGTATAATTCTTTTAATAAGATCTATTAAGTATTTTTGTTAATAGTTAATTCTGAAGTCAATACAACAGTAGACACTGACTAATATTCGGAAATATTTCACTACTGCCAATATTTATTGATTTATTTAATGTATTTTACTGTATATTTACTTAAAGGAGAGAAAAGTTAAACTGCGATCAGTATCTGAGTAGATACCACTCATAATTCCAATGTTCTAATGGTGTATGGTGTTCGTTTGAGTTGCACCTCTAAATATCTGTTGAGGGCTTGACAATTATCTTTAATTGACTTCATTATATGTCAACCACTATTCCTATTATTTTCCTATTTATGATTAAATCCAATGAACGGTTTTTGTTCCTGGTCCTTCTTTCGACAGCTTATTTCACCTCTAAGTACATTTGGACTAACGTTTATGGCAAACTTTCTTTTGATATCATCTCTGAAAAAAGTAGGATACTGACTAAAATGAATTGATATACCTACAAAGATTTGATACTTCAAAAATTCAAGTTTCATATAATTTAGACTTAAAATTCAAAGATAATTTCCTACACTGAAACGTGAAGCCCAACAGATCAGTAAAATTGTGACTACAGTCATTATAAAGTTTTATTTTGGATTAATGTAAGATTAGCTAGTACCTATACAAGCATTTTTATTACATTGAACACTAAATGACAGTAAATCTAAATACAATTTATATTCTACAAGAAATTCTACCTGAGAGCATTCAATTTTTAATAAAAAAAATATATTTAAGTAGGTTATAACGAAACGTAGACTGTCATCAAGAATTAACTACTCAAAACAGTGTTACATATCTCTAATTCTCAAATCCAGTGGCATTTTAAAAATTCGGTTTCCTCCAATAGTTTTATATATTGGATAAATCATATATGTAAAACATTTGATTACAAGAAAAATTCTGAATATTAGGAATGTGTCTAGATATTTGATTTGATTTTTTCAAAATAAGCCAGTGACTGTAATGTGTTCCAGCCAACATAAAATTATAACCAGTGTGCACTTATTTGTCTTTCCATCAAATTCATTAGTTCAGAATCATTCTTAACTTGGAACAAAGCCGTAAAGATTTGCGCATGTGCGAACTTGCGCATGTGGAAATCTTTGAGAATTAATAATTCTAGAACTTAGTTATGATATAATTAATAAAGCTATGAACTGATGATTCTTTAATTTCTTTTAATTAATAAGGTAAATACATAAATTGCAAGCCTAACAAACATGTTAACATAAGTAAAGAAAATTTCTCTTGGGTATCGCTTAATAATGTCTGAAAAAGCGCACATTTGCGCTTGCACTCAAGACATTGCACTGGCTTCCACTATTGTTTGCTTCATCAGCAAGATAAAAACAACAAATTAATGTGATATGTAGTGTGTTTTTGTTTATTTTGAAAAAGTGATAATTGTTAATGTTATATTGATGCCATCATGTTCGATATCACCTTAAAAACCCAGTAATTCAAGTTTTTGGTGCATTTATAACATACCAGTGTCTATTCCATAAATTTGACTCACTAGAATATTTACATAAAGATGGATAACCTGTTTTATATTTGGAATCTCCATAATTTAAGGCAATAAAACTTACGGCATTAAGATGGCACTAAGGTGCATTCACACATGCACACTAATATCAAGTAATGCATATGATCGGTACGTCATTCGTTGTATCTTTGCACATTCATGTTTAATACATTTTATATTATGCCATCAAAAATATATTTGCCAGCTAAGTTTATGTTATTAATTAATTAGAATATTAATTTCTGTTCTTGGATTATAAATAAGTATTTACTACACGCAATGAAACAATATCAAAGTTCCCGTATTAATCACTGTCCTTCATCATATTGTGTCTTTGCTTGATAAATAGTGAACGGAAATCAGCTTAAATTTATGGTTTTAGGTTTTATGAGTAGAAAAGAAATATGCATGTGCAAAGAATCATCGAACGAATTATGTCTTTATTTTTCAAAACAATGTCTCAAAATTGTTTTACCACAAACATCACCAGTGATTTAATTGATCTGACCGAGTGGGTTTTATTTTAAGTGCAATTTAAAGAAAATCCTTATTTTCAACAATCAGAAGTACAGGTTCAGAATATACTTTCAAATAAACGTTACTTTTCCTATTCAACTTCTTCGTATGCTTTAAATATATTTTCAGTTGTTTGTCTTAACATACATTTATAAGTTTTTCCCTCATTATGCTCAGTTAGAATTGTTCAATGACTTATTGAGACACTGTGACATTGTCATGAATAATGTACATGCGCTATATTTATGCGCATGTCACTAACTGCGCAGATATACAGCGCAAGTATTGCCAGCATGCCAGTAATCTTTTAAAATAATATTTTATGTGTCCTGTCTGTTAAGTTAAGCGACTCTCTAGCTAAATAGAGAGATAATACTGCTTCTCTGATATTTTCCCTAGAAATTGAGTAACAGATGATATTATATCGTTTTATTCCAATTTGTCTCGCTTAAATAAACTTTTGATGTGCTTTAAGGCACCAAGCAAGCAAATTATACGATAATAACGTTATTGAAATATATTTTCATGAACCTGGTAACGTAAATTATTATAATTATTATTAATATGTAAACATCTTGTATATATATTTTACTAGAATTAAGTGTAGGTAAACTACAACCTTAAGATATTGTATAAAAGTGACTGTACTCTGTCGTGAAGTAGGTATATACAACGAACAATTCTATACGATGATTAACAATAGTTATTTATATATTTTTTATATTTCTTTATATAAAATATTTTTAACAATTTAGGTAAGAATAAATAAAATCATGTTTTGATAATTCTGTTTTATTTTATCTTTCCCTTGCGTCATTAACTCATTACTGCTCAGATTATTTTTTCGCAGTTTTTAATTTAATGCTATTTTTTGGGAGCAGTATAATATATATAATATATAATAGCATTATAATAAATAATGGGAAAAAGAGAACTTACACGAGAAACAAGAATAAAAATATATAACACAATACTGATACCGACTGTGCTCTATGCAAGTGAAAACTGGACAATTCTGGAAAAACATAAGAGCAGGATAAACGCAATGGAGATGAGACATCTAAGAAGGATAGTTGGAAAGACAAAATGGGATAGATTAAGCAACGAGACTATTAGGAGAATGGCCAACCAGGAACCGATAATCAACAAAATAGCAAAGAGACAAATGAACTGGTATGGGCATCTGACGAGGATGCAATCCAATAGAATAACAAAAAAGTTTATGAAGCAAAAAATATCGGAAAAAGAAAAAGAGGCAGACCAAGAAAAAATGGATACAGCAAGTAGTAGAGGCGGGAAAATTTAAACAAAAATCACTCGAGGAATTGAAAATAATGGCAGGAAACAGAAAAGAATGGAAGAGGTGGGTAAATGGAAATTAAAATAGCTAGCCCAAATCCGACACCCTGATAGGGTAAAAGGAAGGGGAGAAAGAAAGAGAAAAGTTACATTTTTATACATCGTGCGTGTTAAACTTTTGCAAAATCTTCCAGCACACCGTCTTCTTTTGTCGTTTGAAATTTTATCCACTAGGTGTTTCATCCTATCATATCTAATTTCATGTAACAATAAAACATTGAAAACTTCGTTTTCAAACTTCCACAAAATTCATTTTAAACTCTCATCACTACAGCTGTTTCGGCTTGTTGCGTTTCTCAAGTGATCTATTTTTGTATATTAATTCACTTCATAGTCATATTGAATTTACAATAGAAACAGAACAAAATCAATCCATAAATTTTTTAAATTTAAAAATTATCAGACTTAAAAACAAACATGACTTCTAAATATTTCATAAACCTACCCATACTGGCACGACTACACACAATTCATCATCCCATCCAAGACAACATAAACTGGCAGCCTATCATAGTACGTTCCATAGATTAACAGAAATTCCGATGTCAAAATACAACTTTGAGACAGAATTAAATATCATTAAGCAAATAGCAGTAAACAACGGATACAACAAACAAACCATTAATAAAATGTTAAATCAAATACTACACAAGAAAGCCCTGAAATTAGTATTTCCATCACCAAAGAAAAAACCCAGTACCTTCTGCTCGATTACATATATAGGCAAAATAACAACAAAAATTGCCAAACACATAAAAAAGAAAGGAATAACACCAGCTTTCCGAACAAATAACAACCTAGGCAAATATATTAAAAACAACAAGAGCCAAAATAAAAAACACTTACACAGTGGTGTGTACAAACTTAAATGTGGCGACTGCCCAAAAACTTACATCGGTCAAACTCGTAGAAACTTTAATAAACGAGTAGCAGAACATAAAGGGGCTTTCAATAATAGAAAAACAGATTCTACATACGCAATTCACTTTTTAAAGGCCTTAAGCTATTTTTGTTAGAATCTATGGAAATCAACATATTAAAAAACACAGATATCAGATATGACCAACTGGATACAAACCGTTCTCCCCTCCTCAACCCATTTCATTAAAGACTATAAAGTGTAAACGCATGCCAAAAATAGATCACTTGAGAAAGGCAATCAGCCGAAACAGCTGTAGTGATAAGAGTTTAAAATACACTTTATGGAAGTTTGAACACAAAGTTTTCAGTGTTTTATCGTTACATAAAATGAATTTTCATCAAGTAACGGTCGAATCCATCAATTATATCTGATTTCATCGGATACTCCTTGCGCATTAGATGAAGTCCTGCCGGCAGCTTTGGGTGATGGCGAATATTTCTTCAAATAAATTTGCACGGTAGTCCTTCGAAAGTCTATTTGGACGTCTGAGAGTTGTTTGATTTTCGATACAAACCCCACGCGTTATTGACTGATACATCAAAAAGCCATGTAAACAATGCCCAGTGCCATTTTCTGTTTCTAATTTGAATCCTGTACTGTCCAATCCAATCGAACAGTACCACCCATTTTTTTGTTATACTCTGCAAATACTGCTGGTCTGCTAACTTGTATGTGTTTTTTTTTCTTTTGCGAATAACGTCTAACATTTGTTATTGGATTGATGCCTTATCTATTTGAAGCAATGCAAACTACACGTAAATAAGACAATAAACTAAAAGCAGTAAATAAATTGTCAAAGTAAAATAAGAATGGAAAAGATTTCAGATTATCAGGTAGTTCTTTTATCATTTTCACCAGTGGTGCTGCCGCCTTTCCAAAGTTTCTTTCTATGTCAATATCAGGAGTTACAGATTTTCCTTGATATATCTCGAAATCAATCATCTAGCCCATCACTCTATTTAGGCAACAGACTTTATAACTAACTCGTATGGGTTTGGCTCTTAAAAATTGCTTGCAGCTATGTTTACCGTAGTATTTGACCATATTTCGTCGAAAGCCAGATCTTTTTCAGTATCAAATTATTTTCTGAATCTGTCCTTCACTTTATTTATAAATGGCCGTCTTTTCCAGAGCGTATCACCCTTAGCAATATTTGCGTTAGAATTCAAGTGAATAAGCCTCAAAATTTGCTCAAATCTTTTCCGTCTCATAGCATTATATACAAGTTCATTTCTAGTGTCAAGTAGTGTTAAAGCTACGCTTGCTGGGAAGATTATTATAACCACTACGAATAATATAGCAATGAAATATTTCATTTCCTCTGGCGAGACTCCTGGGACGGGTAGGTTATTGAAAGTAGCATATTGGTTTGTTTTCTGTACAGGAATAAAATGATTTTTTCATCTATGAACATTTCGAATATATTCAACTGATTTGTTTTCAAACAGTGAATAATCTGAAAATTGTTTCTCGTTATATGTGAAATCTCCCGAAATCCAATACCGGGATTCAGAAACTTTTGCAGGTGTAATATCGATATCATTTGCCAAAGAAATGTTGCCTCTGTCGATTCTGACTGTTGAATAGGAATTTCTTCTCCTAGTATAATTCCATCAGCAGTTCTAACTTCTGCATTGGCAAGTAGCTGACGTTTGCTCAAATTGTCGAAATCTCCGTCCTCGTCCTCATTTCCGGAATCCTCATCCGTCAGAGTAGGCGGATTCGGTGGCGCTATATAAATTACCTCTATAGTCACCTATCTCGTCATATTCTCCAAAGGCTATATCAATAGCTTCTTGAACAGTCAGGGCTCTGAAATAAAAAAACAACTTAGTAGGTACATACTGTATTTTTAAATTTTAAAGTTCTATAAACACTCTGTAGACTAATACTCCGAAAAATGTTACTAAAAATACCATACAATGAAAACACAACATATGATATATTGGTACAAAATAACTGGAGAATATGCTTACATTACATCCCAGCGTTACAAATATGTATCAGTCAATTTCCTAACCGAACAACTTTTTTATTTGAAAAAATATCAAAGCTTTTACACAAAAAATATTTATTTATATTTTCTTATACTATTTGTTTTCTAATATTAACTTTATTATACAAAATAAGATTTATATACTTACTCTTTATCAACGAACCAAGAATTTATTTGAAGCTTTATTTATTTCGTTATATTTTATCCAGGCACTGATTCAAAACAAAGTTCTAATAAAATCGCACATTTACATTGATGTAAACACTAGCACCTTCTGACAAGAACTGACCTGTTTTCAATTGAAAATTTGCAACGTAGGCGATAGAGGTTCTATTTAGATGGCACCACTTTGCTGTTACATAATCATAACGCTAGGAACTAATGGATTAAAGTTGTTCATCAAATTCTTCCGCTTGATACGAAAAAGCACGATTTGTGCTTTCAGCCAGTGGTGATCCGTGAGTTAATGCTATAGAGTCATGCCACTACCTTATTTGTATGCAGAAACATATTTTTATGAGAAACATATTTTTTTATTTGTATGCAGAAACGTATTATTTAACGTCTTAATGCCTGTTAATTTTTTGTGTGTATTTCTTTTCAACTTCATAAATTATATAAAATCTGTCAACTGTGTGGGTAATACAATCTCCGACATTCACAGCGAAGGTTATTCCACGGGATAAGTAAACATCTTCATTTAAATTGTCATCGAAAAAATCTAGGTCTTCTAATCCGATTTCCCCCAATCGCAGCCCAAAAACTAACGTTTTATGGCACTGTTGTATCACCTTGTTGAACCCAATGTGGGTTTTTCGGACTCTAAAAGCATGTATTTTGTTTATTAACGATTACGTATCTGATTGATGTTTGCCGGACTTTTTGGTTTTGAAATAAAAACAAGTTGTGATCTTTTTTGTCTATATTAAACTCTATAAATTACGGTACGACAGTCATGGAAATTTAAGTTACATCAAAAACACATTCGATAACTTATGTACATATAAAATTAATTTAATACAATCCAAAAGCATTTGGCATTTTTTTAATTGCATTGTTTTTTGCAATTTTTTATTTCTTATGCTTATAACTATTTAAACATTGAGATAAATGTGTATTTAGACCATCGAGCAAAAAGACAAAAGAGGGAATGTAAAGGTAGTGGGGACAAAAATATTGTTAGACAGGAAGTGCTATCTTGAGAGGCCACTTTAAACAAGGAAAGACGGTCTCTTTCCTTGTTTAAGAAAACAAATTTAGTTTGGTTATGTTATTGTTTGTCCCAACTGTCACATGAAATTTTATTTATATTGAAGTTTTTTACCAATTGTGTCACTTTTTAGACTATTATCGTTAATATTTAATTAAAACTTTCTCGTCTGAAAAATATTTTATAGCTATTGTTAATAAGTGTTGGAAAATTTAAATTTAGCGCCTTTGCATTACCGGATATATCCGCCATCAGAAGCCACTTTTTTGGTTTCCTTTTCATAACGATTAGATTCCCTCTTTTGTCTTTTTATTCGGATTTAGACGCACTCATATTTTAAGTCGTTTTGTATTGTCATAGAAACGACAAAGCAGTGCGATGTTGCCGGTATCACAATTTTTCCTTTATAATCACTCAAATTTTTTATATAAGCAAATAATATTGTTACAAACCATATCTTATTTAACAATTTAATTAAACAAGCAACACTAAAATGGGTTTATAAAACGTGGCGTTTGCTGTACATATTTATCACTTTTTACATTACTAATTAATGGAGCATAATTTACATGTGATGATTTAGGTAGGTTGTAATGAGTGAGTACCCGCTTAATACCCGACCAAGGGGCATCTCACTTCACGAAAATATCCGAGTATAAGCCGCCTAAACTTACAAAAACAAGCATCAAAAATGGATTAGGAATGAACAAATAAATTCATAAAATACAAAATTCACTATGTTACCTAACCCTACTCAATACTCTAAGCAAAATCTACTGTACAGCCTCGACTAGATTGGAATTTTCACTATCACTAGCAATACTTTTATCAACAACCTCGCTCTCTTTTTCACTGCTAATATTCATATCTTCATTCTTCGACTCTTCGTCATCGTATTCATTCATAATATTTTCTTGGTGATGTATTTCGGCGAAGTGATCGAGAAGTAACTCCCTCGTCTTAAACGATTCGTCGCAAAAATCGCAATCGTGTTCTTCTTCCGTGATTTTTTGGTGTTTGCCCATTTTCATGTGTTTTTCTTTGGTTTTTTTATGTTTGAAACGTTTCTTGCATATATCACATTGAAATGGTTTGACGTTGGAATGCCTGTACATGTGAGCTTTCAGATACTGCTTGAGCCTGAAAACAATTTCCTTGTTAGATAAATACAATAAATAGAAAGAGCAGTTTAATATTAATTATTTAAGTAAAAAGATATTGTACATTTTTTTTTCTGTAATATGGCTTTGGCAGAGCCAATTAGCCGGACTTGTTTGTTTTTATTGTTAAAATCGACTGAATTTTAATTATTAGTGATTGCAGATTCATAGTTAAAATTTTCTTGTTATAAGTTATCAATGTTAATTACTATTAAACTGGGAATAAGCCACAATTAAAGATAAAAATACATTTATTGACGTTTCAATTTCCACTTCGGAAATCGTTCTCAAAATACAAACAGTAAATTAAACAAATTTTGTTTTTTGTTACATAGTGAAAAATTCTTCTAATAATTTAATTTTATCTGACTCATTTATATTGACAATTCAGACATACATTATGCATTTTAAAGTAGACGACTTTAAAATGATATTGCCAATATTGTTGAGTTGCGCTCCTGGGACGACTTTACTTATAAGATAGTTCATTCGATTACATGAAATCAACTTTAACTTGAGAATATCCGTCAGAAAAAACATAGCATGTAATTCGTCTTTAAAAAGACAAACACATGACATGATGACAGTAAAATTCTCCTGTTAGTGATTCCATAGTAAATTATGAGGGAAAACCAGGAAAAAACCTCATAATACTATCCCGACATTGTAAGTATTTGTTCGTGAATTTAGTTTACCTTCAACAAACATCAAAATTCTGATTTTATATGTTACGTTATTTAAAAAACATAAATGATGTATCCTCTATATGTTACTGACTTACTAATACTGGTATTTTCTTATTAATAACTTCCTCTTTCAATATTGGTAACCAGATCCTACTACATTCTGCCGAAGAATTTGCGACACAATTGGCCTCATTTAACATAATTAGAGCCGCTTCTTTGATTTTTCTTTTTTTACCATCCGTTTCTTTTAGGACTACATTTGAATTACTCCATTGAACCCTATATTCATTAATTAACATATATTAACATATAAAATCAGAATTTTGATGTTTGTTGAAGGTAAACTAAATTCACGAACAAATACTTACAATGTCGGGATAGTATTATGAGGTTTTTTCCTGGTTTTCCCTCATAATTTACTATGGAATCACTAACAGGAGAATTTTACTGTCATCATGTCATGTGTTTGTCTTTTTAAAGACGAATTACATGCTATGATTTTTTCTGACGGATATTCTCAAGTTAAAGTTGATTTCATGTAATCGAATGAACTATCTTATAAGTAAAGTCGTCCCAGGAGCGCAACTCAACAATATTGGCAATATCATTTTAAAGTCGTCTACTTTAAAATGCATAATGTATGTCTGAATTGTCAATATAAATGAGTCAGATAAAATTAAATTATTAGAAGAATTTTTCACTATGTAACAAAAAACAAAATTTGTTTAATTTACTGTTTGTATTTTGAGAACGATTTCCGAAGTGGAAATTGAAACGTCAATAAATGTATTTTTATCTTTAATTGTGGCTTATTCCCAGTTTAATAGTAATTAATTTACAATGCCACAAGAAAATAGCTTCAGAACAATATTATCAATGTTAGTACTACATATACCTAATATTTATACATAAATTATATTTTTATATATTTTTTTGTTTCTTTTTTTTTTATTCTGTTATTATCTTCTTTTTTTGTTTTGTTTTTTTGTTTTTTTTTTGTATTTATTTTTTTTGTTTTTTGTTCTTATATCTATTTTCTTTTGTTTTTAATTCTAATTCTTTTGTTTTTTTTTGTGTTATATTTTTTTTTTGTTTTTTTTTGTTTTTTTTTTCAAACCATATTAACAGATTATGCCTATATACTATTTACATCTTGTATTTACACATTTTAACATGTTTGTAAATGCAATGAAGAATTTCCATATTATTTGAGAATATTAAAAGATTAAGGTTTATTGGAAAACAACACTTAGAATTTATTAATTCCTTATAAAGTTCATTTATATTATTAATTTGTAAATCACATTCTAATATAATATGTGTTAGATCGCCTATTTTGCCACAAGTACAATTGGGAGTATTTGATAAGCCGATTGCATGCATGTAAGATCTCGTAAGAGCATGATTTGCTCGCAGCCGATTAATGGTCTTTATAAAATGTCGATTAGATTCTGTGTAGAACCATCTTCTTGAGGGTATCCTAGTGTTACAATGATAAAAAAATGTTGGTATGTGTACAGTTGGTTCCTAAAAAATCTGATACGATTCTTAAAGTATATTTTGTAGAAAATTTAGCAGTGTATTTTGAAGGATAAATACTTATTATTTACATACTGTTACTGGCACTCTCAAATCTTAAAATTTGTCAGATCACTTATTCTGTTCAACGTCAAAAATGGCTCCATATTCTAGCAAAGAACTAAAAGCAAGAATTGTAACGAAATTAGAAGATGGTTGGTCATTATCTGCCGTAACGAACCATTTTAACGTAAGCAGAACAACAGTTTTTAATATTAATAAAAGATGGAAAGAACAAAAACTCTCGAAAGAAAGCAAAGTTCTGGAAGACCAAAAATATCTACCGCTCATGAAGATCGTACGCTTTTGGAGAGATTAGAAGAGAATCCTTTTGAAGATACGAAAACTACAAGAATTATGTCACAGTTTCCGGGAAGAAAGATAACACCTTGGTGCACAATTAAAGCATCACGTCTTAAGGCGCGTACAGACTAGCACACGCATGCGGTGAGAAGCCACGCATATGCGTGCGTACGCAAACCATTCGCGCTCAGAGCATTCGTTGAAATTAAAAATCACCGCAAATGTATGCGTGCTCAAGGCGCTCCATCCATTCGTGAAAAAATGACTGAGGAGCTGCTTATGGTTAGTGCCGCGTTTGTGGTTATTAGTTCATTAAAATAGAAAAAAACAAAGGAAAAATAGGCGATGATGGACGACGCATTTATTTAAAAGAAACACCCTGCAAATAAAGTCCGATTTACTAGTAGATTTGGCGTTAGAACCTAATACTGGACATTTTCAAAATTTTACACGTATGTCGGTAGAAGACTTTGAACGCCTTTTAAATGATATAGGCCCCGTAATGACGAAAAACGACAAAGTCTCAAGAAAAGCCATACCTGTTAAGGAACGTTTACTGATAACATAATATAGGGTTTTCTTCATACAAATCTATTAATTGCAAACATTGTACATTTGGCCACTCCATTTTACACATAAATCAATAAAATGAATAAAACTCAGTCAATCCGAACTTGTCTTGCAAATGCAACAAATCTCCACGCTATCCGTCTAAACTGAGCGCGAACGCACACGTATGTTTCTTTGATGTGTGCGAAAAAACCGACACCACTTTGGCTCGCAGCATGCGTGCTCAAGTCATTCGCGAGAAGCAGCGCATGCGGCGAGAGGTTACGAAAACGCCGTCCACATTTGCACACGTATGTGTATTCGTGGCTGCTCACCGCATGCGTTTGTAGGTCTGTACGCGCCTTTAGAGCAATCAAGGCTTTAAACCATAAGATACAAGATTTTTGGGACAGGCTAATATTTACAGATGAGAACATTTTTCAATTTTCTAAAAAGGGCAAAATTGGGGTGTATAGACCATATAATAATGGCCGTAATCCTCCTATCCTATGTAATATCGAGTAGGTCGTCATTTTGTCGCCAATGTATGGGAATTGATTTCATCTAGAGGAATGAGAATGGTATGGCGTATTGATGGTAGGTTTGTTGGGCAGACTTTCTGGTAGACACTGTTCCCAGTGTAGAACAGTTGTATCCAGAAAATAATGTTATCCTAAAACAAAATAATTGTCCCATTCACACTGTAAATATGACAAACCAATGACTCCAGAATAACAACATCGAAACCTTACCATGACCCAGCTACAGTCCAGATTTAAGCCCAATCGAGAATGTGTGGGGGGTTATTATAAAATGGTTGTATCGGCGTAATTTTATATCTCAAAATGCTGAAGAGCTGTGGCATGGTATACAACAGGTTTGGGAAGAGCTCTCTGAAGAAGACAATTTCATAGTTATAGAATAGAATAGAAATATGCTTTATTGTCACTGAAAATTATTGAACAATTTTATGGACAAAGCTAAAAAATATATCAGTCAAATAGTACAAAAAGTATAAAACAAAAACAAATATAATAAAAAACAGAACAATACAATTTTAAATTAGTAAAATTATTGTATAACCTACATAATTTGTACAGACAACAACAAATGAGACAAATTGTAGCCACTGCTTGAGACACCCAAATGTAATTATAAACAATACTAATTTTGTTTCTTTGTTATACATTAAGAAATTCGTCAACTGAATAATATGGTCTTTCAGACAGATAGATTTTTGTAATCTTACGAAACTTAATGAAAGATGTTGCGGATTTAATTTCAGTTCCTTGAACACAGATGGACCGAAGACTACAAGGTGTTATCAATGCTGATGGAGATATTACAAAATATTAATTGTATTATTACATACCTAAATTTAGTACAGTTTTGGTCTTCCACGCCCTTGCTTTCTTTGGTTACTCAGTTATCTTTTAATTTGGTTACAATTCTTGATGCTATTGTTTCATCAGAAGTTATTGTCTGTCATAATTTTTACGAGATTTCCACTTGATTTTGCGCTTTCCTCATTATTTTATTTGTGCAGATTATTGGCATCTATTGTACAGATTATTATTCTTTTATTGTACATATTTTTATTGTGCATATATTTACAAACTGCAGTTGTTAAAAAAAATGTGTACGACAGGGATGTATAATGTCCCAATTATTATCTAATCTAATAAAGGCTAGGATGACACGTCACACGGAAATGTAATTTATCCGGGTGATAACTGCTAGCGCCACCTAGGAGAGAAATCTGAACTACCAACTGACATTTCAACCTTAATCAATTCGTTATCTTTGTATATTTACGTACAAAAAAAAACAAACATATTACTTATTAGAAAGCATTAAATTTATTCAACTGTTCTCTTACATAATATTTGGAGTATTTTCTTTAGTTTTTTGTTAATGTTCAGTTATTGACATTTGACATTTTATTGCTGAGCTGCTATCAACAAAATTAGTATAGACGGTTAATAACGAATGTATGTGAGTAAAGAAGCTAAAACTGCATCTGTATCTTGTATTATATGTCTATGGACACAATTATAACAACAATAACCTAGAATTATATCGACACAGAACATAACCATAGACAGAAGTGATTAGTCCTACTTACATTAATCAACTATTGACAACACTGTACTATTTTCTTATTTAACTCATACTGAACGAAAGACGTGAGGCGCACTATAAGTACAAAAAGGTTAGCCGACTTTTCATGTAGTTTTTCGAATACTTCAACAAAAACGAGAATACTTACTTAAACTTTTGAAGACATATATGACATTCGTGATTTTCTCCAGTTGTATGACTCAAACTGTGTGTATAAAGTCTACGTGTCGTTTTGAACGTTTTGGCGCAAATTTCACACTGGTATCTTCTTTCTTCGGAATGTGTAGCAAGGTGATTCTTGAGACTAGTTTTACTGGCAAAGTGGTTTTGGCAAATGTCGCATTTAAAATTTTTTGCGCCTGAATGTGTGACGTTATGAGTTTCTAGATTATATCTAAAATTTAAAACGATTATCAGAACTTATTTTAATTTTCATAAGCTACATAATTTGTTTGTTCTGTTGCTATTTGTTGCTTTTTCAAATGAATCAAAGGGATAATTATTTACTAAGTAATTATAATTATTTTTAGATTGTGAAATGTTCTCTCTTCTGAAGAAGAAGTAATATGGGGATGTAGACGTTGAAAAATCTTTTGAAGATCAGGCAAGAAGTTGGCATAGCACTCGTATCTCAGATTCATCTGATCTATGCCACAATATTGAGCAAAATAAAGCAATTAGTTTTCAAAATAAATTTGATGATGAATATCTATCAACTGCCACAGCATCTGAAGTTGAAGGTCTGCAGGTTGTGTCCTACCAGACCACAATTTGTTTCAGTCCAACACTATTGTGAATACAACTGATAATATTCTCGACTTGAAGCTGGTTGATGATGTGTAACTGTGTCCAGGGCAGATGAAACTCTTTTGAGGGAGGGTATGCATCACCCACCCTTGGAATTTAAGATAAAGATGACCAAAAGGTGCCCCAATTATAGTGGTTTGTTTAGTGATGTTTTCTTGGGGACTTTTAGTTGACTGAGTATGTGAAAATAACTAATTTTTTGTCACAGTTCTGTTGGGATAATTTATTTTTAGAAAAACCATTGAATCAAATTGTAAATATTTTTTATGATATAGTTTACTTAGCTATAGAATTATGGACTGATATGGGCTTATATACAGAAGGACCTGATAGTTGAGAAAAAGAAACCTCACAAAAAATATCTTTTATCTAAATCACTTCTGGATCGTCAGACTTTTTCTCAGCTGAGGGCCAACTGTAAATTGTTAAACGCTGGAGGCTACAGAAATAATATTTATTTAACTGAATCACTTGGAAATAATTTTTGAAGGGATTTTGTGAATTCATCCAGGGGAAAACTCTCTTTGTCCGTTGTGTTAAGGTATGGTGGTGTTGAAATCCAGTCACAGACTACAGTCTGTTATACTCAAATATGAGTCATACCCAGTGACTCACCTTCACTTGGTCTTACTAACTTGACTGGTTTCGACCTAACTATATCTGATATTTAAAATGATCAGAACTGGATACAAATAAGGGTCCTGGTCCTGATGGATTGCCTCCCGGCTTTCCCAAGAATTTTTTTATATTATCCAGACCACTTTTTCACATTTTTAATCTATCCTTAAATAAGGATGAATTTCCAGAAAAAATAGTTTTTTAATGCCTATTTTTAAAGGAGGAGAGATTCATTGGTGAATAATTACAGGCCCATTAGTATAATTAGTATAATACCAAAGATATTTTAATGTTTTGTGTATCTATCTTAAAGCTTCACTTGAAAAACAGCTAGTAGACCAACATTTTGGATATCGGAATACCAGATCAACCGGATGTAATATACTAGTGTTTGTGGACTTTCCCTCACCTCTACCCAATTACCCAATCCTTCTACAAGGAAGGCTTGTAGGGTACATGCACTATACACTGAGTTCTTCAAGGCCTTTGACCGGGTCAACCACAATATTTAGTATTGAAACTTAAAAAAATGGGTGTTGATGTGGACCATCAATCAAATCATACTTCTTGGATGGCTGAGAACATACTTGATTGACCAAGTTAAGATGATGCGTATCAGGGATTTTGTTTCCAGTAAGGTTCATTCAGGAGTACCCCAGGGATTTTGGGGCCTCTGTTATTTAACTTATGATCAATGATATACACCACTGCTTCCAGCACAGTTTACCTCTGCTTTTTTAGGGCGATCTAAAGTTCTAGACAATTATTAATACTACAGAAGATTGTGTTAATCTTCAACATGATCTTAATCAATTGTGTGAATGGTGTGTGTTGAATGCCATGGCAGTGAACGCATCCAAGTGTCACGCTGTTTCTTTTGGACGATCGAGAGACCCAATGGAATATAATTATAATATACAGAACATTCTTGTTGACTGGGTAACCAAAATTCGTGATCTATTTGAATCACGTTATATGTCAATAATTTCCAAATCTTTACAAATGCTTGGCTTTATAAAGAGATGCACTAGAGACTTTCAAAATATTGAAGCGATTAAATTACTATATTGTTCTTTAGTTAGACCTCATCTAGGTCTAGTGTATGGTCTCCATCTTATAATATTTACATATCAAAAATCGAGACAGTCAACACAAGTTCTTGAAATATGTCGCATATAAACACGGCATACCTTTTGAATTATATCAAGTAAATTATGATCAAAGATGCTTTATGGCATAATTAATTCTACAGTCTTGTGTCCTTAGCTACTTAAGCAGGTTGGTCTGCTGGTTGGTGTGCAGGTTGGTCTGCTGGTTGATAAAACAAACTATTTATGTTCGTCTTCACAGAACCAACTATACATATAAGAATTTTTTATCTCGATCACTAAGATGGGCAAATATTCACCCAGATCTAGATTTTTTTGCATCGAAGGCCAAATTCATTTGTAGTCTCAGACATGCCATTATTTGAGTGGCTATGAAAAAGTTGTCATCATTTTGATATGTAAAACTAAATTACATTATTAAAGTTGTGATGTTTATATTTTATTTTGTTTTATTTTATTTTTAATTAGCACACATATACATAGAAAATTGTTTACATTCATATAAATTGCAAATATCTTTTAAATAAGTATATTGGAATATAACTATTGTAAACATTGTGAATCTTATTGGACAGGAGTCTGTTGAAAATAAATAAATAACATATGTGTAGGAAAAAAAAGATAGCTGGTACAGATATTTTAAAAGAAACGTTTATAAAATTATATTCTCACCTTCCTACATTTGATAATTACAAATTATAATAAAATAATTACAAATCTCGAAGGACCAGCGACTAAGATCACAAAATTGTAGCTCAGTAACGATGTAGCGAACTTATTTCTAAAAGGATCATTAAAAGGTGACTTCCGATAGCAATATTTTTATTTTATGATTCACATAATTAAAGAACAGTATGTTAAAATAAGTTTATTTTGATGTTTTGCTTTCCGCTTAGGAAATCGTTCTCAAAATAAAAAACATTGTTTTATATTTTAATTTATTTTAAGAACTATTGAGAACATTTTGAGAAGTGCTCTTTAGTCATTACTTAGGAGCAAATGAAGCAACTGACTAAAAACTTACCTGGAAGAAAATACTTTGTCACAAAAAGTGCATTTGAAACATTTGTCGTGAGTTTTAACGTGGTTCCTAAGTAAAGAATTATTTATAAACTCCTTTCCACAAATGTGACATTTCTTCTTTTCTCCGTCTTGCTTGTGCTGAAGTCTAATATGCTCGGCGAGATTTTTGGCTTTATCAAAAACTTTTTGACAGTATTCACATTCAAATGTCTTTTGCTCATTGTGCTGTTTACAGTGTTTATTAAATAGGAATCTATCATAAAACACCTGAAATAGAAAAAACTGCTTTATTGAAGAAAGAGATTATACAGGGTAAAACACTATCAATGGAACAGTAAAAATGTTAATATTTTTGTCATTTTAGTTCTTTGTATATTGATAAAATCACGATTTTAAATCTAAATAAACCTCTCAATTTACTGTTTCCTCATAGAAGAGAGGGCTTATTACATAATTAGGTAAGTATGTAAGATACCACCCCAAATGTTTAAGACCAGCAACATTTACTATTAATAAATTATTTTTTATGGATTTGCTGTGGAGTAATATAGGAATTTATGCTGATGGACACATCCATTTTTGTGGAACATTGCTTCATCTCTAAATAAAACAAAATTGAAAAAAATTCTATGTACAATTATTTTTTGTTATGCCCATTCACATAAAGCTAACCTTTCGTGTTTATAACTCATTCATCGAGAATGCTCAATAATGCTCTCTTATTCAGTTGTAGACGATCTGAATATGAAATCTGGATGATAGACTCTCGCTGCAAGTAAACAATTCTTATTACATTCATCTAACATTCATACCATGTCTACCAGTCATTAATTAATATATTTTTCTAAATGTTTCAAGAAATATTGAAAAATATAGTTTCTCGAAAACTGTCAAAATGCAAAGATATAGAAAGCAGATTATAGTGTAGCTTGCCACTTTTAAAAACATACATACATACCTCTTTACATTGTGTACATGTATTAGGAACATGCGCCCTTTTAATATGCCTCTTGATCCTGTACATTGATGGATAAATCTTTCCGCAGTATTCACAAGGGAACTGCAGCTCTTTGTGAGTACTCAAATGACTTTCTAATCCACGCTCCGTTTTAAAAGGTTTATTGCACAAGCCGCATTTAATCTCCTCTTTTGTAGCATGCTCAGACATGTGTTCTTTATGTTCCGCTTCTTTTTGAGATTTATAACCACAAACCTAAAAAATACTTATTAATACAAAAAATTGTATTTGTAAAAAAATACACTTAGCATACGTGAACAATTTTTAGTCTATAATTTAAAGAAATTTACTAATACTAAAGTAGTCATAATATTACTTTATTACTGGAGGAAATTTTGATATACAAATATATTATTTTTCCTTCTATTCTATTATTATTATTTATTTATTAACGGATATACCATTTTTACATTGGAACAACATATATATAAAATTTTACAAAGTAAGCACAACATTGGAAAATAATAGTAAAGTTTAACAAAATTAATAATTAACTTGAATACAAACTAATATCAAAAACTAATAATTAACTTCAATACAAACTAATATTACACAAATAGCAGTCTCTTTATCACATTTTTAAATTGTTCTAAGGACTGGAAAAATAAGTCCAGATCACTTTGGTACCTATTATATAGTCTCAACATATTAGTAAGAGGCTTGAAGAATTCATAATTAAATTGATGAAATGGCAGATGAAACAATGAAGTATGTCTAGTTCCATGAAGAGTGTTAAGACCTAATCGATTTAAAAGTTCAGGGCAATTTATCAAATTATTAACAATTTTGTAAAGGAATATTAGGCATAAATAATCTTTTCGCTGATTCATGGAAACCATTTTTAAGTGATTAGCTATCATACTATAACTGTATGGGACAGAAAGGTCATGAAAAGCACTACGGTAATGATAGTGTTTACAAAATTTATGCTGAACACGATCAAGCTTGTCAATAGAGGTTTGATAGTAAGGTCCCCATACAACTATTGCATATTCTAGTCTGGAACGAATGAGACTATTAAAAAGAATTGGTAAAACAAAACATGAAAATTGAGAAGTGTTTCTAGTTATAAACCCTAATTGTTTAAATGCAATGTTTACTGTGACCTCTAGATGATTACGAAATGTTAATTTACAATCAAAATAAACACCTAAATCCTTAACACAGTCCTGCCTTGACAGCTGAGTGTTATCAATGCTATAATCGTAATTTAAAATTGTTTGCTTTCTGTGAAAAGTAATAACACAACACTTATCAATGTTCAATTTTAATTCATTTAGTTTGCACCAATCGCTAAATCTGCTGAGATCCTCTTGTAACTGAATTTGATCATACTGACAAGTAATGACTTTATAAATTTTTTTATCATCAGCAAAGTTCAGAAATTTTGAATTCTTAATGACTTTTTCAACGTCATTAATAAAGAGGACAAAAAGTAGGGGACCACAATGTGACCCTTGTGGTACTCCAGAGAGGACGTCAACAGATTGAGACAACACACCATTTATCTTAATGCTCTGGGTGTTACCCACAAGAAAACTATCATACCAATCAAGCCATTTGCCAGCTATACCAATGGCTCCTAATTTACTGATTAAATAACGATGATTTACTTTATCAAATGCCTTTGAGAAGTCAGTATAGATGCTGTCCACCTGGTACTTCCTCTCAAAGGCACCCAATATATCATCTTGGTAGACCAACAAGTTTGACACTGTGCTCCTCCCCCTTTGAAAGCCATGCTGTTGGGGTATTATTATATTGTCTGTTAGTTTTGATAAGTGAGAAGTCACTAGTTTGTCGAGAAGTTTTGGGATTGCTGACTGTATACAAATTCCTCTGTATTTTTCAATATCCTCTCTTTTACCTGACTTAAAAATGGGTACAATATAACTGTTCTTCCAGCAAGGAGGGAACTCACCAGTCATAAGAGATAAGTTATAAAGATATTTTAGGGGAATAGTAAGTGAGCATAGACAGTGCTTTAATAATACCGGTGGGACTCCATCAGGCCCTGAGGAGAATTTGTTTGGAAGTTTACTTAATTCATCAAACACTGATATAGTGTCAACTTGAATTAGGTTTACAGGGTCAATGTGTCTGACACAGTCTTTAAAATCTGGAATGGGAGCACCTTTATCTTTCTCATATACACCAGAGAAGAATTCAGCAAAAAGGTTAGCAATTTCGATATTGCCCTGTGCCCTTCTGTTACCGAGATACATTTCTTGGGGGTAACTCGAAGATTTACGAAGTCTGCCAATGTATCCCCAAAATTCCCTGGGGTTATTACTAAAATTTTTTTCAAGAGATGAAAAATGTTGTTTCTGACAAAGTGTATGTTCAACTTTACATTGATCACGTAGATTAGAGAACAATAAGTAGTCCTCATTTGAATTAGATAATTTAAACCTCAGATGAGCTTTTTTCTTTTGAATAATAAGATCTTTAAGTTTTATTGAGAACCAAATTGGGAACTTGTAGGAACACTTGACAGCCTTCATTGGAACAAAAATATCTAAACACTGATACATATAGCTGTAAAATATTTGACAAGCCTCATTTATATTATTACAATGGTATAATGCATCCCAATTAACTGAAGATAGATAAAGGTTAACAGAATTAAAATTACAGTTTTTGAAATCATAAACATAGTCTTCATAAAAAACTGACTCTTTAAAATAACCAATAGGGATAAAAAATTCATACGGCTTATGCCTGAATGATTCACAAAACAATGGATCGACCGGCGTACATACATTTAGATCAGGTATATGTGAAAAAATGAGATCCAGGAATGTTCCATGTCTGTTTGGTATATTATTGCACTGATGGAGATTTAAAAATGCAAAAGATCCACAAACTGTATTCGCATGAGATCCATCAGGAAGTATGGTAGATAAATAAACCCCGTTTTGATCATTAGCCCATTGAGCATCTCTCAGGTTGTAATCGCCAGCCAAGATCACAGAACTCTGTGGATGTTGACTTATCAGTTCCTCAAGAAAGGTGCAGTGATATTCATATGCCTCAGCTAATGAACTAGGTGGTATATAGATTCCTCCTATTATAAGCTGATCATCATTCAGTTTAACTTCCACAAAAAGTTGTTCTATGTTAAGCAAATTTGACTTACATATTAGTTTAGAGGGTAGGTTTTTCTTGATTGCAATATACACTCCTCCGCCCACAATGTCCAATCCATGCTGATAGCGGTCCTGTCTATAAACATTATAGTTTAATAGATCAGTCTCACTAACCAAAAACTTTTCAGATAACCACGATTCAATCAAAATAACAATATCATAATCATTTAGTAGCAAAGAGTCCCTTAACTGAGAGAGTTTAGTTCGAAGTCCACCAACATTATGAAAGTAACATTTTAGGGTACTTCTCAGTTTTTTGGCTGGTTAGTAGTTTTTTTCACTATTGTAGGCTTATTGTTAATGAATTTGATTGTTTTAGAATTATCACCATTCTTAACCATATCATCTAATTGTAATTTGATTTTCTTGAAATACTCTTGCTGGGCTTTTGTTTGATCCAGGGAAATTCTGACATCGGGCACTTTAATTAATCTTTTATTTTTGACAACAGTTTTAGCATCATCAGCTGTATTTAATACTACTTTAATGGGTCTCGTTCTGTTAGCAAATTTTCCCAGTCTAAATAGTTTAACATTATTTTTGTTAATATTAAAATCAGTCAAAATATTAAGTACCGCTTGTTTGTCCTCTGCATTACGATCCGATTGATTATTTTTAACAGATTCATTAACATTATATATAATTATATTGGAAGCCCTATTTTGCCTCTCCAGCATTTCGGAAATAATATCCTCCATATCTGGTGCAACAGATGCGACATTTTCCTTATGTAGAATTTTATTTATACTTTCCTTAAGCTCACACACTTCTTTTAACAGAGCTGTAGGTACCTTGTGAAATCCAACTTCGCACTGTTCGCAGAAAAACTTTAGTTTACGTTTCGTTTTCAACTGCATGCATTTAACTTCAGATGCTGTTAGATTACCACATTCCATACAAAGCACAGTTCTGCATCCATCACAAGCAAAAACTTGATTTAAGTCGAATTGGTTATTACACTCAGCGCATGTATCCATTTTATTTATTAAAATATAGAACAAATATAGAAAACTTCCTGGACTATAATCACAAACTCAGAACCACTTAGTCTTATCAGCACATTAAGTTTTTTATTGTCACTATTTAATTTTGTTCAACAACTTTTTGTAGTAAAGAAAGGATTTAACATCAAAGTTATTCAATTAAACATCTAGTTACACTTAAAATTTTCTAGGAATTTAGTTATATACAATTTCAATTTTAACTAGTCAAAAAATTGGAATTTTTTGGCCAGTTTAAACCATAAAACAACACATATTTATGGAGCAGATCAATTTACAGTGTAATTAGTGTAATTACTTACTCGTGTCTCCTCGTGTCTATTCTAATTAGCATTGGTGTTGCATTAGTTAGCTGTGCATGTACTCATGGCTATATTCGTGACCCTCCAATTATAAAAACTGGCTGGACCCTGGTTTTCCTGGTCAGTAAGCCATACGACCGTAAGCAACTCCACTGCCCCTACGAGTCTCCTTCCGGCTCGAGGAGATAAGAATACGGCCGGGGCCAGAAGACCCTGCCTGTCGTAAGAGGCGACTAATGGGCGGATATGAGAGGTGGAGGGCCGTCGTTTGAGGTGTCGGGTTGGTAGAAACGCACAGAGATGCTTAGTCATCTCAGTCACCGGTCTACATTCCTAGTATCCGAGACGAGCGCCTCGTGGGACCACTCTACTCTCATTTTCCACAAGAGCCGGGTGTGGTTAAACGAGCCAGGTACGGAGGTTCCCCGGAAGCTGACACCGCGGAAGGGGAACGGGTGACCCAGCGCGTAACCACACCTCGGAATGATTTAACGAGTGGTAGAGGAGTGATTCCTCGGCGGCGACCTGTCTACGTGCGAGGTGGTATTCCACCACCTGCGTGCCTTTCCGCCTCCGGGGGGAGGACTCACGGAAGGGTGGCGTGACCCGCAACACAGGTACTACGGGGGAGGTGGAGCCCCACGATGTGCAAGCATCGTGCCACCTCCATTTGGTGTCGGACTCGTAGGGGCAGTGGCGTGCGCTAACGGTCGTATGCCGAAAGGCCAGGTAGACCAGGGTCCTGCCAATTCATTTTGGAGGGCACAAAGCTCAGCTATGCCCCTACGAGTCTGACACCAAATGAGGGTGGTACGATACAGAGATATTGTGGGGCTTCACCCTCCCTGTAGAACCTGTGTTGCGATTACGTCACCAGTTCGTAAGTCCCCCGGGGCGGAAAGGCGACGCAGGCGGAGGAATTCCACCGAAGATCCGCCGAAGATCTCTCCTCTACCACTCTTAAATCACCCAGGTGGGTACGTGCCTAGACACCGGCGCCAGTTTTGGTGGTGCGAGCCGAAAGAGGTGCTTACAGGCTCAACTCGTTCAACCTCACCTGGTTCTTGTGGAATGAGAGTAGAGTGGTCCCACAAGAGTCTTGTCTCGGATTCTAGGAGTATAGACCGTGACCGAGAGGCCTAAGCCTCCCGAGTGCGTTTCTACAAACCCGACACCTCAAGCGACAGCTCTCCACCTTTCAGTTCTTTCCCATTAGTCGCCTCTTACGACAGGCAGGGACTTCTGGCCTCGGCCATATTCTTATCTCTGCGAGCTAAACGGAGTGTGCATGTACTCAAAGGATAAACTGTACAACTTTTTCATTCTCAACTATTGGCACTGCATTTCCAATTAGTCACTATTAAAAGCTTTGACTTTTTAAGACAATAAAACAGTTGTAGGTTGGTTTATTATACTCAAACTAATTGTTTTTTCAGTTATTTGTGTTTGTTATTCATCCAAACATGACCTGCCAGATTTAAACTCTTCTTCTTTAACTTCTATGTAAATAAAGCTATTGACTTTAGTGATTATAATACTTTGTTATAAGTTTATGTGTTAATATGGTGTTTGGTAAGTTTACACCTCTGTAAGTGGAAGGTATTTCTTATAGCCCTTTTTAAACTGTTTAGGAATTTCATGATGATACAATATTGTCTATATTATTATTATCAATTTTTGCATTAAACTTTCTACTCTGTAATTCACTAATTTTTTTGAATTCCACTCTATCTCGGAGATTTCCTATTCTTTAGCTTACGAACAAGTTGTTTTAAGACAGATATTTCAATTAAAAAATTATCATTATAACAATCGGTACATTAAAACTTATTAATTACATAGAGAAGACAAATCCATAACAATAGCTTACCTTACATTTTAAGTCATCAATAACTTTTTCAGAATGAACCAAGCGATGGCTTCGAAGAGAACCACTACTTTTAAAATGCTTGTCACATTGATTGCATTTGTAGATTTCGTCCTTATTGTGGCATCTTTTGTGTAAACTGAGATGATTTTTTGATAAAAAATATTTTTCACACTCGTCACATTTGTAAGGTTTAAAACCAAGATGTTTATTTACATGTTCTTCTAATAATGAAAGGCTCTTCAGTACTTTGTTGCATATATGACATCTAAAATAAAAGTAAGCACATTATATCAGCGATATTAAAATGGTTTAAGGAATGTTATTCTTCAATACAGTTGATTGCTCAATACATGTTAAGGAGACAAAAGTTTATTAGAATGTCAATGCAAGTGGTTCAATATCAGTTTATGTAATTGTCTTGACATATGTTAAAGTATGCATGAAATAATTACTTACAGCAATAATAATATAAAATATATTTCATGAATTCACTACGAATTTTGACCATGATAAACAACATGTGGAATGCAATCTTAGATTCCCTTGTCGACTTATTTATCAAGCTGTTTACTTTGCAAGTTTTAGAAAGCACAGTGGTCAAAATTTGAATTCGATTTCGCCAGGTAGAAATTGTTTGATTTCTCTTTTTGTTAAAGCAATTATATTATTTCATCATTATTAAAGCAATTATATTGAATGCAGAAATTTCTTGATTTCTGCATTCTTATTACTTCCCTTCATATTTTAGGAACCCTTCTTAATTTAGGAATATTATCTGTCACTGTGATAAGTTTTCTAAGCCTTTTTAAAAGGTTTTGGTTGCTTCATGATTTCGTTAAGTCATCTTTGAACAAATTTTCACCCATAATCTTTTTGCAACATTTTGTTGTTAATGTGCTTTAAATACATTAAGTACAATTATTTTTCTATTTATGCATAGGGCACATTTAGTTGTACATTTAACGTAAACGAATCCTAAAAGACCTTTAATTTTTAACACTACAAAAAGACCTTCATAGACATTTGTTATTTATTATGACAAGAATTAGAATGTTTTTTAATGAACAGAGAGATTAGACTGTTTTACAAAATTTTTTAAGACGAATTGCTCAACATATTGGTTATTACATAGCTACCAAGGATGGAAACCTTTCATGTGATTTGTTGGGAATGAGAGACCTGTTTCTTAAGATTAATTTCAAGTAATGAATAGTAGTTCCTTATTTGGTTTTTAACCTTCTAATCTTCTGATTTGTATACCAAATTAGTCCTTCAGAAATCTTACAATATACAGATCAATGTTTCCATCTCATAATGGTACACATATTCTACTCCATCTCAAAACAAATAGAGATAACTGACATGTGGATTTTATTAAATCTCTATATGATAAGTAATGCCATATACTAATTGGAATAGCTAAGGTTTCAAGGGCTGGATAATATTATCAAAGGGCCAAAGCCTTCTTATGAGAAAAATTAAGGCATTAATTTATTCTTAAAACCTTAAAAGTAAGAAAAAAAATAGCATGTAAAACTGAAATAATTCACAGAAAATAATCATTTCCCAAGTATCAGCTATAAAAATTAAAACCTTACCTTCTTTTCTCAATGTAATGATTTTTTCTGTGAACTTTAAATTCTTCATATTTTACGAAAATTGTATCACATAGTTGACATTTGTATGTAGTCGTTTCATTTACAATAACAGTCATATCATTATTTATGCCTTTAAGTTCATCGGAAGAAACAATTAAATTATCATCTTCAAAGGAAGAGTTGTCTTCTTTTACGCTAATATCTAGGGGTTCTGATTTGACTTCCGTTTTTAACTGGGATTCGCTATTGAGTATCTCATTTTGTTCTTCTTTTATTATTGGTGTAAAATCTATATCCATATTAACATCATTTTCCTGTTTAATGCAGGAGTTTGATGGTATAACTTCTTCAGGTTCATCTTTTATAGTTATTGACTCACTATTTAATTCCGGTTTAATTTCTACCTGCATGTTGAATTAAACTAAACTTTATTTTAGTTAAGCTATTAGGTAGTTAATAAAATTTAGAGTTTTGTAAATCTTTTTCAAGCATATTTATTATTTTTGTTAAATTGCATTTCCTAATGTCACTAATTTATTTGTGTCAACACTGTCAATTCAAACAAGATTGACAATTGACATTACATTGAACACAGCACACCCCCACCTGGCAGTGCCAGTCCCGTGACAATGAATAAAACGACGATTGGCGCACTACCTAGTGTCAGGGTGCTTAACTATATTCGCGTTCTTAAACAACCGAACTGTCTATGTGTTCGTACCATCGAGCAATAAGACAAAAGAGGGAATGTAAAGGTAGAAGGGGTAAACATATTGATAGACAGGAAGTGCCATCTTGAGAGGCCACTTTAGACAAGGATAGAGAGTCTCTCTCCTTGTTTGACATCAAATTTAGTTGGGTTTATGTTATTGTTTGTCCCAAATGTCACATGAAATCTTATTTATATTGAAGTTTTTTAACAATTGTGTCGCATTTTAGACTCTTATCATTAATAATTTAATTAAAACTTTCTCGTCTAAGACACATTTTTGAAAAATATTATATAGCTACTGTTGATAAGTGTCGAAAAATTTAAAATTTGGCGCCTTTGCATTTCCGGATGTGTCCGCCATCAGAGGCCACTTTTTTGGTCTCCTTTTTATAACGATTAGATTCCCCTCTTTTGTCTTATTGCTCGATGGTTCGTACACTTCCCGTCATATTAAACTGGTACACTTTTTTCCCAATGTAAACCTGTGTCCAGAAATCATTTCGTTGTTGCCATTACAGATAACGGAATTATACTAAATCTAAATAAAAAAATAACGTTCAAAAATGTATAAAATTTTTAGATAGGTATTATTTTTATCATTATAAAAAAAAACTGAATCTAAGAAATTAAATAAGCAGAGATAGGGTTGAGTTATTATCCAAAATATTTGAAGGATCTTTAAACCTAGGGTATTGGCACAGGAAACATTGGAATGCATCTACTGTAATTTTATACTTCAATTACCTACCGAACTCGAACTGTATTCTGTGTCAATAAATTTTGTAACAGGCAAACTACCAACATTAATTTATTATTTATTACAAGAACGATAAAAAATGTGGAAAACTAACATTATACTTTATCCTACGTATTATATACTAAAAAATATTCGGTGCGAAAAAACGCTTTTCAAAACATAACAGTTACAATCCAATATCTCATTGTAATGTTTTATTATAATAATTTGAAGTTTGTCTAGATTGATTATCTATCATTATTTTTGAATTAAAATATTTTCATAAATTGTTATAAACGTATGGGTAGTACTTAATTGAGATGATGGAAAATTACAAAATTAATATAAATTTTTAGGATGTATATTTAAACAAATTTAATGTAACTGACTGATCAAGACTGCTCGATAATGTTTTAGTTTTTAGTATACTCAAAACTGGTGGTCTGTCACACGGCCTTGCTTTTAACTGGTTTTATATAGTATTTTCGTTGAACTGGCAACGGTGCCCTAAAAATCAGAATGATACATGTGACAAGCTCAACGTACACAACTAAAAAAACACGATTTTTGATTATAAGAGTTGTACCAGTTTTTTATGACTGTGACGAGACTGGTACAAGGTTAGTACATAGCAGTGCTAACAAACGGAAGGGTGCACAAATAAAAACGTGCATTGACCTTGGTTATCAATGTTACCAATCTAATTTATCTGTGGACATTGAAGAAATCTTAGAAAAGGAAAGAGAGTAATTGAGTAGTCCGAAGTAAGCCACATTAGCAAGAAATATTTCAAAAATCAGAGGCGTGGTAATTATTTGATTATAATGGGTATGTATTTAAATTATTATCGTTAATTTGCTTATAATAAACAAATATTAACATTAATTAAACGTATATGAATAGGAAAGGTTTTACGATAATATTCTTACATAATTTTATTTCTCCATAGTTTATATATTTGGATCTTTCAATTTAATTGTATTTTCTGTACAATAAAACACCACTCTCTTCCTTACATTGCATCCTTATATATTCCTATTGCTCTAATATTGATTCTCATAATACTATTATTTTTATTTTTTTCACTCTATTTTTGCATAAATACACTTTCCTTCTCATCTTTTATGTGTGTAGAGAGGTCATTAATCACAGGTCTTGGTAAATTCTCACCTTTTTACATTCACCCTCTGATGGTTTTTTGCTGCGTTTCACTTACTTCAATATTCTGCATAAACATCGATTTCGCGCGTTTAACTGACATTAAAAATTGTTGTCGCTTCAAGCATTGTTTCTGAGAGAACGGTTCATTCTACACAAAAACTGCAATAGACATTTTTTCAAATCTCATTCTTGGTTTTACCCTCCACTAGGGTGGTTTTAGGGGGAAGCCCGGGAGTAAAAGCGGTAAACTTTTTTTGCATCTTTTTTGGGGTCCCAAAATTGATATTCTCGGCAAAATTCAGCTTGTTCGTATGATTTTTCGGAAACAAATATCTGATGACTGGACTAATAATGTTATGTTTACAAATACACAGAAGTGTTTTGACTCATTTTTGCATAACACCATCCAACTGTGATAGAAACGTGGTAGAAGTTGCAGTATTATAGAAAATATAAAAATAAAACAAAGTGTAAATTAAATTTTATTGAAAATTATATAAAAAAAGTAAAAAAAAAATATTTAAAAATCTTTTATAAAAAGAAACAATTGGAAATCCTTAAAAACAAACTTCAGTACTTGTAACCATCTTCTCCTTTTCACTATTTACTTAAGTCATATAATTATTATTCCATGCAAAATTTATATGATTCTAGATCTTCAGTTGAAATATAAGTTTTCTTTTCTCTGTTGACAGAACTTTATCAAGTTTTTTCGAATGAATCGACAGTCCAAAATTTAATACGTGTGACACACATTTATTTCGTCACTTCTGCACCATCCAACACATCTTCGGCCTCCTCCCTTAAGTTTTCAACCTTCTCGAGCAATAACATCTAAAAATAATCGAAATATGTTATGAAATACAATATTTAATTGCTCTCAAAATTCATTTAACAAACTAATGATTCATGTAAAACAAATCTTCTTAAGTGAATTATTTTAACATGTACATGACTATTGATGTGTGGCGACCACTACACCTGGGTGGGGAGGGGTGGGGTAAATTTAGTAATTAATTCCTAATGATCAACGAAGAAAATTAATTTTCCTGTTTAAAGTTATTTATTATCTAACTATAAAGAGTTGTACAAAAATATTCTTCACTTAAGGTAGATGCATTAATACAAAAACAGTTTTCTATAGACGGTTTTTATTAGAAACAACTTTTAACTGTTTTGTCAGTTATATAAACTTACCTTAGATGCAGCTATAAGTTGATTAGCTACTCGAGTGGACATGAACTCTATATTTTGTACCAAATCATTGACGTTTGCTTTTGCAATACTTTGTAAAGTCTTGAAACCGGCATTATACAGTTGTTTGGCTCGACTCTGTAAGAAATATCTTAAATAAATAAAATATAACAAGTTTTATCAAGTTTGTTTGGTTACAAAGGTTTTAAAAACCTGCTGGAAATTTTAATTAATCAATTTACATTGAAATTTATGAGTTTTGTGAAATTATAAGAGTTTGTTCTTAAAAGAGTTTTGCAGTTTTCTTTAAAATACCGAAATATTGAAAAAATATGTTTTGATCCGGAGAATGCATATGGTAAAGTATACATATTTTATCCCACCTTGATGCCGCAGATCTAAACAGGTCAACAGAACTACGTTTAAACTAGGTTCTCAAATCGTTCAATTAGGAAATACGTCTCCTACCTGAACTTATTTATTTCTAATATTGTTTTGAAGCTATTTTATTGTGCCATTGTCTATCATATTATATACTATCTTTGAATGGGAATTGACCGCAATTTCAATTTAATAATGTAAGTGAAAACAAGAGCCAATTTGTAAAAAAAGTCAGTAAAAGCAATTTTTGACTTTTTAGAATTTAAACTTCCAGAACATAAGAATGATTTTAAATAATACTAAAAATAATTTACCTGTTTGACAGCTGGTAGATCCATCAACGGTAACAGTTCTTTAACACAGCAATGCGACAATCTTTGGCTCATTCCTTTCAGAAGATAAGCGTATGCCCAGAATTCTTGTAGTTCTTCGCAAAAATTTACTACATTTGAGGCAAATGTGGCAGCAATTGTCATCAGATTTTGTACGATCCCTCGGTTGATCTGGAAAAATACAGATTTTTTTATCTTAATCTAAAAATAAAATAATTGACAACTGGAATAGTTTTTTCAAAAATCCATTGAGGGTATAGATTATGTCGAGACAATGTAACTGCTTTTACTTCTTGCTTTGCCACTAAGTACTAAGAAATTTTCGTCGATAATTTTATATCAGTTTAAAGTTGGCCTAACTAAGTAGAATGCGTCGATCGACTTCGTCTTGGTTTTGTGATAAAGTACCAGACCCACCAACTGTTCACAGATGGTTTGAAGAAGTTTGGTGTCGAATTCCTTGAAAGTCATCCTTCCATAGCCGTTGTTCCCGAAAACAATGTATGCTATGCGCGGCATGATGGAAGCAGATCGACGTGTTTCCTACCATGAGATCCTTGCATCATTGGCCATAGGTTTGAGTCATATACAAACAAATTTGCATAGCCATTTGATAGTGAAAAAGGCGTATAGTCGTTGTATTTCTCAATAAAGTAATACTTTTGAAAAGTATTACTTTATTTGTGTACAATCCTTCGAGTTAAGCAGGTCAATTTGGTGGTAAGTCATTTAGTCACATCATGTCTTGTAACTGTTCCCCTAATTTCGATTTTTTTTATTAATCTGTTTAATCTGTCTAATTCACTTCTGTTTGCCTTCGTACCTCGTATCTCTTATCTTATATATAGTATCTTCTAGCTTGCATCTTGCCGCTAGTTATATAACTCTATGTGGCTCGTTGGATACATAGATATCATCCTGCCACTGCAAGTAATTTTGTTGTATTGCATATAAATAAAATATAAAACAACTTACCTGATACTTTTCCGAAACTTGAAATACTGGCATCTCGTTCCACAAGTCGTACAGCATCAATGTTACATAAAACCTGTTGATTACTCGCTCAGGTACGCTCTGCGGACATTGCGAATTAGTAAATCTCAACGTAACAGTGTGGAATATTTACCTTAATGGGATTATTCGATGCCAACATTTTAACAGCTACGGATTCGTTGAGACCCAATGTTTTTGCTACTCTTAATTCACTGGGTTTTAAGTGGGTAAACTAAAAAACAGTTTTATCAGCATTGGAATATCCTTTTTTATGTCATATTTATATTACTATGCAAGTAACTAATAAATGAATTTTTTCTCAATTTACCACCTGATGTCTTCAAGTTATCCTAAAATTCTTATTCTTCAAATATTATAGGCTACTAGAACATCCAAAAGAAATTGCAGGACTTTGCATCTAATGCTGCTCAAAATAATGATTCAGTATTAACTTCATATAATTGATATAAATTCTGTAGTTATGATTTTTTTCTTTTATCTAGACCACATTTACCTAGTTTTCTACCTTTAATTCTTAATTGAAATAGTTGATATTTAGTATTGATCATAATACAGCTGAAATAGTTTGATTTTCTCTACTTAATAATGATAATCATTTTAATTTGTTTATTCATTTGGTTTAACACATATTTATTATGTGTTGTCTCAGCAACAGGTATAGGAACAGTTCTATAAACATACCTGGGGACAGACATAAACTCTGATCATGTACCAGTTGTAGGTAATTTAAAAGTCAGAATCAAGAGAGTTACAAGTAAGTCGAGGAAGAAGTATGATGTTAGAAAACTGAAAGATATCAATGTTCGACTGAAGGTGAGTGAAAACCTCAATACAAAAGTGCTAAAATGCAGAAATGCGGGAACTATAAGAAAAGTCTGGCCATCATACAAGAAATAGTGAGAGAAATACAAGAATACCCGAGAAAGATACAGAGAAACGGAAATCGTGGATGACCGATGAAATACTTGAACTTATGGATCAGAGAAAAAAAACAAAGAAAATCTCCAAGCATATAAGTGAATACATACCATTGTCAGAAGAAAGATCTTCTTCTTCTTAAAGTGCCCTCTCCTCAATGGAGGTTGGCTACTACAATTTTAAACTCTTCTCTATCTTCAGCTGTTCTTATTAGCTGTTCAAAATTTAGCCCTGTCCATTGTCGGATGTTTCTGAGCCATGATAGTCTTTTCCTTCCTAGGCCTCTCTTTCCCTCGATTTTTCCTTTCACTATAAGTTGGGCATATTGGTACTTATTATTTCTCAGTATGTGGCCTAGGTATGATGTTTTTCTTACTTTTACTGTGTTAAAAAGTTCTCTTTCCTTGCCTATTCTATGCAGCACTTCTTCGTTTGAGGTATGCGATGTCCATGAAATTTTGAGTATTCTCCGGTAGATCCACATTTCAAAGGCCTCCAATTTATTTACGGTTGATGTTTTAAGGGTCCACGTTTCAACTGCATATAGAAGAGTCGACCAGACGTAGCATTTTGATAAACGTAGTCGAATTTCGAGTTTTATTCGAGAATCACAAAGCAGTTTTTTTTATTTTTTCGAAGGATTTTCTAGCCTGTTCTATTCTCGATCTTATTTCTTGATCAGGATTTAGGCTGCTATCGATCCAACATCCCAGGTACTTAAATCTATTGACTTGTTCTAAGATGTGCCCATTTATTGTTCAAGGTTGAGGTACGTTTTGGTTTTTTCGAATTGACATCACTTTGGTTTTTTTAATGTTTATTTTCATACCAAATTGCTCACAGGTCGAGTTGGTCTTGTCGATGAGTCGTTGTAGACCTGAGTCGGAATCCGCAATTAACACTGTATCATCGGCGTATCTGATACTGTTGATATTTACGCCATTCACCTTGACTCCATCCTTGGAATCCTCCAATGCTTCTTTAAATAGAAACTCGGAGTAAAGATTAAACAGCAGAGGCGACAGAACACATCCCTGTCTAACTCCCCTCCTAATTTCTACTTCTGCGGATGTGGAACCTTCGATCCTAACTCTGGCTTTTTGGTTCCAGTACAAGTTTTTTAAGAATTTGATGTCTTTTCCATCTAAACCGACTTCTTGCAAACGTTCTAATAGTAGGTCGTGTCTTACTCTATCAAATGCTTTTTCGAAGTCTATAAAGCATATAAATATATCTTTCTGTTGGTCGTAACATTTTTGGGCGAGAACTAATAAACTGAACAGGGCTTCTCTCGTTCCCATGCCGGCTCTGAATCCAAACTGATCGTCTCCGATGATTGTTTCGCACTTTCTATAGATACGATTATGTACGATTTTTAGTAGGACTTTTACAGCATGACTCATAAGGCTTATCAGACGGAACTCATTGCAGTGTTGTGGGTTTGGCTTTTTTGGTAGTGGGATGAATATTGACTCCAGCCAATCTTGGGGTATTTTACCTGTATCATAAATGCGATTGAATAAAAGGACAAATAATTCGATATTTTCTTCGCTGATTAATTTGAGCGTTTCTGGGTATATTCCGTCTGGACCTGGGCTTTTATTTGTTTTGAGATGATTAATTGCATTTATGATTTCAGATTTCAGAATTGTTGGCCCTTCGTTGTTATTTTCCAATCTTGGTTCTTCTCGTATGTCATGAAAAAGAATTTTAATATAGTTTTCCCATTCTTTCAGTTTATCTTCCGTTGATTCTAGCAGTTTGTCATCCGTGTTCAGCATGGTGTGAAAAGTCGTTCTCTTGGTAGTCGATGTAAACTCTTTTACCTTTTTATGTAAATTAAAAAAATCGTGCCTTTGTTGCAGTTCTTCTATTTCAACGCATTTTGTTTCCAGCCATTTCTCTTTTGCTTCGGTTATTTTTTTTTCGAATTATTCTATTTAGTCTTTTGTATTCTACGTCCTTGTCATTTTTTCCTTTAGATTCTCTTCGTTTGTTCATTAATTGTAAAATCTCTTCTGTCATCCATTCCTGTTTGTTATTTCTAGGTGTTACTTTTAGATGTTTTTCCGTTTTAGAAGAAAGATAAGAGAAGCCAAAGAGAAACAAAAAACAGAACAATGTCAAGAAATAGAGGAATATCAGAGTCGATATGATAACTTCAATGTCCATCGAAAGGCTAAGGAAATAAAGGGAAAGTTTCAAAAACGCAAATAACAGATGATGAAAGCAATCTTGCAATTACGAAAGATAAAAAGAAAGTATGGGAAGAATACTTGGAGAAAAATTCGGGTCCCGAAATCCTACCAGAAGAAATAACGGCAGTCGTCAGACAAATAAAGGATGGAAAGGCACCGGGACTTGACGAAATTCCTGCAGAACTGCTGAAATTATTAAATAATACAAATAATAACTGAAATATTTAATGAAATATACAAGGCAAGAAAAATATCAGTAGAGTGGCTCAAATCCCATTGCTCAAAAAACCAGGAGCAAAAGTTTGTGAAGACTATAGAACCATAAGCCTAATGAGCCATTTGCTGAAGCTGTTTTTAAAGGTCATCCACAAAAGAATTTACCGAAAATGCGAGGAACAAATTGCACTCAATTAGTTTGGATTGGTGAACGCCGTTGGTATGAGGAAGCTTTATTTAGCGTGCAGGAATTGTTTCAGAAATGTAGAGATGTCAGATGTGATGTTTTTGCATGCCTGATTGACTACAAGAAGGTTTTTGATAGAGTCAGGCATGAACAAATCATGAAAGTGCTGAAGAGGACAGGGATTGATGGAAGAAACTTAAAAATAATAGCCAACCTGTATTGAACTCGATCAGCGGTGCTCCGAATAGATGGAGAATGTACAGATTAGGTCAAAATATTAAGAGAGTGAGACAAGGGTGCATAATTCCACCACTGATACTCAATCTGTACTCGGAGCACATTTTTGAATAGGCTCTAAAAGATATTGATGAAGGCATCTCAATAAATAGAGTCAAGCTCAATAACCTGCGGTATTCAGATAATACAATAGTGCTTTCCAATACCATATAGGGGCTGCAAAACTTAATGAACAAAATAATGGAAACAAGTAGAACATATGGACTGGATATAAACACCAGCAAAACCAAGCTAATGATCATAAACAAGGAAAACATAACTGGAGCAAAATCTGTATGTGAACCAAATGTGAATTGAACGTGCCTCACAGTACAGCTACTTGGGAACTATAATCAATGAGTCGTGGGACAATACGCAAGAGATTAAATGTCGCATCGGAAAGGCAAAAAGTGCATTCTTAACTATGAGTTCTGTGTCCAAGAGCCCTAACGTCACCCTAGAAACAAAAATAACGCTAATTAAATGTTACGAGTACTCAGTGCTTCTGTATAGTGAAGAAGTGAGGATGAACACAACCGCGGATTTGGTCAACATCGTGAAGGGCCGTAAGCGGCAGTACTTGGGACATATTATAAGAAATCAAGGCAGATATGAGCTACTCCAATGCATTTTGCAAGATAAAATTGAAGGACGAAGAAGAATATCCTGGTTTGCTAACCTGAGAGCATGGTATAGAAAGACCTCAACACAACTATTCCGTATGGCAACCAACAAGTTTATCATAGCCAATGTTCGGAACGGACAAGCAGCCTAAGAAGAAAAAGTCTCAGCAGGCTAAGAAGCTTTTACCATTCTCATATATGCCCACTTTTCTCAGGAGCTTCCAGTCCTTATATCCAGTCTTTAAAGCTAACTATCTATCTACCTATCTTTTTTCCTATCAATCTAAATCAACAAGCTTAGGGACGTCACGTACGAAGAATTTGTACGTAGTTTATGAAAAAAAAATGATTTGAACTTAATTTTCCTGTGTATAGTGATTTCATTTATTATTAAATTTGACTTTTAATTTAAAATAGTTTTAAAACTATTGTTACATACTAAGAGTTATTTTTCTAAGAACACGTCTAAGCAAAAAGAACCTACCACTTCATAATAAACTTGTTTATTTGGTGTAATTTGGTCTGCAGTCTCGTAAGGTGTGACTAGATATAGAAGATGTAAATGACCTTGGAGAACAAGGCAAGCTTGGGCCTCATACAGATCTTCGTATAACATATGTGCTCTTGACAGCTCCAAACCACCTAAAACGAAATAAATGAATAACTTAATATATGTCAAAATTTAAGCAAGATTTGAATTGGATAGAACACACTGTTTTTTTTATATTGTAATTTTTTATTGAATCATAAAATACATAGGATAAGGTTATGTATGGAATAGCATAATAAACAAATGACCTTCACAGCTTTGCTAGCACATGCGCACTCTTTTGTCGAAATTTTTCACGACCATTTTGCATAAATGTAGCTGAGTTTCATTAATCTAGCGTTAAATTTTCTTCTTCAATGCACGGGTGGTTATACGCTTGTTGCCTTTGACTTCAAATAACCCCACGAAAAGAAATCCAATGGTGTTAAATCACCCAATCTAGCTGGTCAATTCTGATCACTGAAACAAGAGAGAAAACGACCAGAAAAGTCTTATGTGGTAATTGAATTGTTTTACGAACTGTATGGCATGTGGAACCGTGTTGTTTAAATCATGTCTCTTCTGCTAATTTCATCAGAAAGAACTCTGTTATCATGTTACGATATCGAGCACCAGTAACAATTACGGCTTGATATGCCTCGTTTTTAAAGAAGTATGGTCCAATGATGCCCCTAGCCCAAAATCCGCACCAAACAGTGGCACGTTGTGGATGCTTTTTTTTTTTCGAAAATCACATGTGGGTTCTCAGAATGCGGCAATTTTGATTAACAAAGCCATCAAGGTGAAACCGTACTCCATCGCTTAGGATGATTTTGATGTGCTAATACGAACTCTCTTCGCTGTGCATGGTCATTAGGTTTCAGTTCTTGTGTTAAATGAACTTTGTAACCATGGAGATGCAGATATCAAGAAGCTGATAACAAAAGGGAAAATCTAAGGTACAAGGTTAGTTGATCGAAATCAAAATTTATAGCTGAAACATCTACAGAGTTGTCTCTTCAGACAACAGAAGGAAGTTGTCAGAACCACTTCCGTAAAGTTAGCCAAATGTACCTCTAACCTCAGTAGCAATACAGCGCCCAAGAAGACTACAACAAATGGATACCAGATGTAAAACTGATGTAAACCATTTAAAACTATCGAAGTTAAGTATTCTACTTTAACTGATGTTATAAATGTTTTGTAATATCTATCAAAAGACATTTTAAATTAACAATGACAATGAACGAAGACAAAAACATAAAAAATGTATTTTTTTGGCTATAAAACCTTATAAAAAATATCTTTAATTGTTTCAAACTCACCTTTTATAGCAGCACATCCTAATTCACTAACGACTAGTTTCGTATTGTCGGTCAATACAATAGTTCTTTTTCGTTTCTTTGTTGGTGTTGTAACATTTTCATTAAGAGAAGTGTCTTGGATAGACGTCTAAAACATTGCTTAATTAAAATTAAATAGATACAGTAACAATATATTAAGGAAGGAAGAAGAGAAGATGTGAAGATTTCCAGTACCCTTTAATTTGATAAATTTGTCTAGTTTCGTTATTCAACTACGCCATCTAATGGTGAACATACAATATGTAAATCATTTCCATTTTTTTTTTCATTTTCGTTATAAAATTTTAATTATAATCTATTTCTGAGATAGGACCGCGTGTTGTTATTAATTAGCAACCCCGTATACTAAGTCCGTTAATAATATTAGATAGGGAACTAGTTAACTTACATCCATTCTGACAGAAACATCACATTTGGTGATGGGTTCTTCCTTATAAACAACATCAAATTCCTTGAGAGCACCCAACTTAAACAGGTTCTTAATCACTTTGTCCGTGAGTTGTTTAATATTGACTTCTTGTTGATCACTTTGGACTGCTAACAATGTGTGAGCCGTAACTTCGTGTAATTTTGCTCTAGTATTGGCTATTCCTAAACTTATGCAGCTGAGCAGCAGATGTCTATAAAAATTGGCAATTTTTATTAAATATATCACACAAAATGTAATACTCACTGTAATGTGTATTACAGTGAAGTAAACTATTTTTTGAAAAGTAAATTGGTATGAAAAAATGTAAAAATCAATAAATAAATTTACTTAACAGTATTTGTTTTGGTAGAAAATATTCAATTAATTGGTTACTAAAGAAATTAACATTTAAAGTTCGAAGGACCGTGAAAAAACAAAAACAATGCCTGCTAGCACGTTCAACAGAAGTAACAAAATTAACTGCTGGTTAATTGATTTACATAAAGTGTAAGTTTAAGAAACACACAACAAATAAATGACAAAGTATTCCCATTTGTCAATGTGATACGCCCATCGAGCAAAAAGACAATAGAAGGAATGTAAAGGTAGTGGGGGCAAACATATTGTTAGACAGGAAGTGCAATCTTTAGAGGCCACATTAAAGAGAGTCTCTCTCCTTGTTTGACATCAAATTTAGTTGGGTTATGTTATTGTTTGTCCCAAATGTCACATGAAATCTTATTTATATTGAAGTTTTTTAACAATTGTGTCGCATTTTAGACTCTTATCATTAATAATTAATTAAAACTTTCTCGTCTAAGACACATTCTGAAAAATATTATATAGCTACTGTTGATAAGTGTCGGAAAATTTAAATTTCGCACATTCGCATTTCCGGATATGTCCGCCATCAAAGGCCACTTTTTTGGTCTCCTTTTCATAAGGATTAGATTCCCTCTTTTGTCTTATTGCTCGATGGATACGCCAGAGACGAAACCTAAACTGATAATGAGAGAGAAATTTAACCATTTGTAGACATGTGTTTTGAAAATTTCCGACAATTCTCTGCGTATTTTCGAAGAACCGGTAATTTTAGAGGCTCAGGGAGCAAGTTTACAGTTCAGTTCAATGTCTTACTAAGCGGCATATATAACCTTCTAACATAAATAAATAAATTTTAAGAAATGTAGGGGAAAGTTGTTGTTTGATAGATACAAATGCGCCATATAGTACAAACGCTAACAATTTTAGTCACAGTGGTCGCTTACTACGCTTGACCCCTGCACCATCGTTTCCAGAACCATTTTGTATACGAACCTGTTGAGAGTTGTGTTGTGTAGAAGTAGCAGATAAGTTTAAACATCTTTTCAACCAATAATAATATACATAAATATACATATTAAATGTTCTGTATGTTTTGTGGTATACAGTGGTCACACACTTATGCAGGAACAGCGGCCACTGATTTTGACAAAAAAAAAGTAGTGAACATTGTTCTACATACGTTTGTAAAAAGCAGTGGTCATTGTTCTTTCTGCAAAAAATATCAAAAATAATTTTGTTTCAGATAGTAATATGACATAAAAATACTGGTATTGGAAAAACTACAGATGAAAATATCTGAAAAGCGATTTATAAAGTTTGGAAAGGTGGATTATCACAAAAGGCTGCTGCTTTAAAATACGATATTCCACGCACTACGTTTAGGAGATATTTTAAAAAGTGCAACGAAAATAAAAATAATATAGATTGAACTTCAGATGTTCTTGAGGGAGCTCCAAGATTGACCCTAAATTACGGTATCAATTTTTTCTTTAACCGAGGAAAAAGAACTGAGTAATTATTTACAGACGATGACCAAGCTTCATCATGGTTTCAATCCGAAAGGTATCAGACAACTAGCTTATGATTTGTCAATTGCTAACAGAATATTCCAACTTCATGGGAAGAAAACAAGATGGCAGGCAAGTTTTGATTTACAAGTTTTATGAAACAAAATTCAGAATTATCATTACGATCAGTAGAAGGAATTTCACTAGGTAGGGCAATGGGGTTTAATCACCAGTCGTTGCAAATTTTTTTAGTAATCTTAAGAAGATTTATGAAAAATATGCATTAACACCTAGTCAGGTATACAATGTAAATGAAATAGCACTTACAACTGTGCAAGATACAGGAAAAGTAATAGCCAAAAAGGGACAGAAAGAAGTAGGCCATATAGTTTTAAAGGAAAGAGGCACTTTGGTAACCATGTGCAATGCAATAAACGCTATAGGTAATCCGATTCCGCCGTTTTTGGTGTTCCCTAGGATATTTTTTAAAGATTGTATAGTTAAAAACGCACCTCCATGCTCTCAGAGGTGTACTGCACCATCTGGGTGGATGATAGCAGAATTATTTGAACAGCGGATGATACATTTTGTCAAACATACTAATCCTACAAAGGAATCTCCCATTTTACTAACCATAGACAACCATGAGAGCCATGTTTCTTTAGCATCTATTAAATTTGCAAAAGAAAATAATATAATCTTGTTGACTTTGCGGCCACACACTAGCTATCGCCTTCAGCCACTAGATAAAGCTATATTTGGTCCTCTTAAGAAATATTACTCACATGGTTGTCAAAATTGGTTATTTATGAAAAATCCTGAAAAGAGGATAACATGGCAGAAATTTTGAGCGATCTTATCCACTTGCTTTCTGTCCCAAAAATGTGTTATCAGCTTTTAAAGCTACTGGGGTATTTCCATTCGATGATAACATTTTTAATGACGATGATTTTATGGCTTCAACTGTAACAGACATGCCAAACATACATCAAGAAGAACAACAACCAAATAATTCAAATGTTAGCATATACCACAAATGGACATTCAGTTTCCTTCAACATCAACTTATCCAGATAAAATACCAGAAACAAATCAGAAACATCCATCGGAAATAACACCTGAAAAAAAAACTGATTCTTATGAAGTGATGGCAACTTCCAAGGACACACCCGAAAATCGATTTATTTCTCCTGTATTACTGCAACCATACTCTAAAGCTAATGGCTTATTGACATTAAAAAAATAAAGGAAAAAGAAGACTCGTGAGGTTTCAAACAAAGAAAACTTCAAAATTTTATGTTTCACAAGTTACAGAAGTTTTTTCTAGAGATCAAGTATACAATGTAAATTTTCTAAGGCGTCATGGAAGACATTTTTCATTTCCTACAGTTACAGATTCTGCCACAATTACAAAAGAAGATGTTGAACTCATTTTAACCCAACCAAAAAGTGCTGAAGCAACACAAAGAACTACTTTTAAAGCGGATTTATAATCTAATAATATTTGTTAGAGATTAATATTACTTTTCTTTTTTATGAATATTATAAATAAAAATATAAGAATTGCAAATAATGACCACAGTACCTTGCCTATGTGGCCACTGTACCATATAGTTTGGTACACATTTTTTTAAAAAACACCACATTTTTTAAAAAACAAAATTAGTTACTCCTGCATAACCTGTATTTTTTGGGATTACAGAGTACATTTTAAATTTACCAAGTGCTTCGACGTTGTTTGAGCTGATACTCATTAATATATTATGATTTATATTAAAGTTTATCTTGAATTTACTCGAAATGTGGCCACTGTACCAGCCTCTCCCTTATATGAATTAAATTTTGCCGCTGTGGTACGACGTAGTCCAATACTAAAGATTAACATAGGACTCACTTTTTATTATTTCCAGTTCGCACTATAGTAATTCCCCAGCTAAAAAGTTTTAAATGACACAAATAAAATATTTAAGTAAAAAGCTAAACAACTTTTTTAAATAGTATTTAATAACTGAAAAGCAATAAGTGTAGATAAAACCACGCGAATAAATATGAAAATAAAACAATTATGAATTTTCACAGTTATCTTTGAATTCTAGAAGTTACAGTAGTAATATCATAATAATAATAATTACCTTAACCCTTTTCCTTCCGCGAGATGCATTCCAGACATAGCTCTATTCATAGGTGACATCATTAACTCTACGACCTTCGGCAAATCTGGTGGTTGAGTGATTAAAATACTTTCGCCAGTTTCTCCCAGTCCAGCTCTTCCCGCTCTTCCAACCATTTGTTTATACCTAGAGAGATTTATGAAATCCCTTCCTATATACGGAGATCTCAGTATGACTCTTTTAGCAGGTAAATTAACGCCAGCAGCCAGCGTTGACGTACAGCATATCACATAAATGGTACCTGCTCTGAAGCCTTCTTCGATGATGCGTCTTTCGTCGCTCGTTAAACCTAAAAAATATATTGCATGATCTTTAGTAATTATTTTTTTGGGAAGTTAGTTACTTTTTGACAGACTAAAAGTGGCTGGAAATTACTATACAACCAAGCACTCGTACTCAGCCAATATTAATAATAAACAAACTAAATAATAAATAAAATAGAACTTTACGAATTACCGACGATCAATATTTATTTATCTGCACCATATAATAAATAGTTATGTTAAATTATAACAACAAATATATTTTTTAAATATATACAGTAGACTCCCTCTTAACCGGCCACCTCGGGACCAGAGCCTGGCCGGTTTATCCGATATGCAGTCATTTTCATAAGAAAAATCAAGTACATACATACATATATCAAACACGTGTACAGGAAGGTGTATATTAATAAATATCACGGAGTATACAGTAAAAATAATCGGTAAAGTATAAAAAAAATCATTATCTTTTAAAATATTTATGGCAAAAAGATTACCATCCCCTTTTTCTGAACACACATAATTGTAGTACCTATTTGATGTAAATTTTATGGTCAGATATTTGTCAATGTCGTCATAGTCCTCAAAAATGTTTGCTAGAAAGATTATTGAACTTGAAAAATAAAAATTACCTGAATGATGATAAGCGATACCATATTGAATAGATACAGCTAAAATATCACAGAGTATTCCTCCTTCGTCTTTTAAAGCATGAATTAATTGTTCCTTCTCCGCTTGCTTGTACTTTTTTAAATCCCTAAAAATACAGATAAGGCGAAGTTGTATATTTACATAAAATACAAATTATGTTCAAATAATAAATTCACTTACGGTTTAGAAAGTTTACATAATAGATTGGCAACATTTTCACAATTCTTCTTGGATGGACAAAATACCAAACAAGACCCATTTGGGATTACCTCCATAACAAGACCACCTATCATGTCAGGATCCAATTTTTGAATTGATTCAGAATACTGCAAAAAAAAAAATATTATTTATATGTTAGCACACGAATTTGTCAAAACGCGAGCGTGGAGAAGTCTTGTCTAGGCATGCGCTTTACGAAACCCTATATGTTGGAGTTGGTTTGTTGAAATAGCGGCAAGTCACTAGTTATGTACTGTTTTTATCAATAATGGCTGGTAATACAGTATTATCTCCACAATTAAATCAATCATTAGAAAAAATTAAAAAACTGGAAACGTCTACTGAAAGGAAAAAGAAGTGAGAGATCAGGCATCATCATAAAAAAATAAAACTGAATGAAATGATAAAATGTAATGATTACTCCATGTAGTATTAAATAAAATCGGTATTCCTTTACAGTTGTCATAAGTAAAGGTTATTAATACGCTAAAGTAGAGGCTGCAAGGGTTTGGTAATACAGATTTAGGAAAATTTTAAATGTGTAGTAGCCAAATGTTAACTCGATCGAATAATTGTGGAATCGGATACGCCAAAGAGGATTCTCCAGGAAATTATAAAGAGAAAGTGGAAATAGATTGGGAATTCAATAAGGAATCATGCAGAATGCTGAATGAAACCGAAATAGTGAATGACCAGGTAAAGCTTAGAAGAGATCTGTGGCAGCTGAGGCTAGAAGGAGTAGGAAAATCTTATAGAAAATAGAATCTTTCAAAAAGTGATCAACAACAAACATTGGCGTTGCAGAAATAAGAAGATATTCACAAAATTCAGCCTAAATCTTACCTTAAAATCGATCTTCTTATGATCTGTTAATATATCATCTTCATTAGTATAATTCCAATTGACTTTCGCTATTTTATTAGTACATTTAACATATTCTGTCAACTCTACTGGTCTAAAATTCTTAGTGTAAACATCCGCATTCAAAAACTTGCACAAATCTGCTATGTTTCCTATCGTGGCACTCATAGATATGATTTGTATATTAGCTAAAAGTAAATGCAAAAATTAGTATATTAACTATACCTATATTAGGAGAAATTCATCGCGATAAATCGATCAGTGTAGGTAAAGTCACCTTAATTTAGATCCAGACAAAAGAATAACGAATGTTTTTACATATCTTCCTACTTCTTGGCTTGCTCTCTTCTTTTGCCTAGGATGGAGGATATTTGATCATTTAACATCTTCATGGGCCTGCCCTTTAATATTTTGAAGATTATCCTCCCTTTCCATACTTGTTCCTCTAACTGCAGGTCACAGGTGCCTCTTGATTCATTCTAACCATGTGGCAATACCATCTTAATTTGGTTTCTTCAATTCTCTTTTAGATTGGTTGTATTTTAAGACATTATCTTATTCCGAATTTTGTCCATTATGGTAATATCTAGTATTTTTCTTAGGTACTGATTTGTAATCATTTCACCCATTTTGTTTAAGGTTTTGGCTGTTATTTTGTCGTAGTCAGCTGCTTTTCCTCTCTTTTGATTCTCATATACAATGCAATACAGTTATTAAGAATATATTCTATAGGTTAATGTGATATCTACAGAGGTTTACTATAAGCTCTACAATGTTATGATTGAGTCCTGTTCAATGACAAGTCCTTCTTATAAACTTCTTAGGTCTAGTGACCAGCGTCTCTTCAGTCTTCTAAATTGACGTGTGATTCAAGAAGTGCATCCAATAAAGTATATTTTTCGAAAATTCTTCGAGATAAAGTATGTTCAAGTCTGTGTGTAGTGTTTGGTTACCAACAGGACCATCAGCCCCCACCATTCAAAGAATTTGACATCTCAGCATCATATATATATATATATATATATATATATATTATATATATATATATATATATATATATATATATATACAGTTTTATTCGGTGCTAGACTCATCCTGTAGGGAGCCACAAGTCTCGGTGACATACTTACAGTCTGGTATGTCATCCACCAAACTGTCAAGATTGGCAGTTGATATAATATATTGGAACCATCGCAAACTACTATAAATGATAAGCAGTAGAAGGAAAACGTGCCAAAAAACCTAGTAGAAGGTACAACTGTCAAACTTGCATGAACAAACACTGGAGAAGAAAAAATGTGAAAACTGTACATCACAAAATGTAATAGAAAAACGGCACAATATTTACTGGCTATCCCTTACCTTTTAAATACATAATTTTCGTTAAAGATGCTTCTAAAGTAGGACCTCTCCCATCTTCTCCAATTAAGTGAAATTCGTCAACAACTATAAGGCCTACTTCATGCAGTCTTCCAGTCTCTACCAAACTATTTATTATACCTAAAGCTTTTTCAATGGTAGCTATGTAGATAGAGTTTTTTCTTCGTCTTTTTCGTGGAGGATAAACACCTTTGTTGGAGGCATATTCTTCAACCAGAAAATCTAGAGCGACACCAAATGGAGATATTGCCCACACCTAGGAAAATTAGGATCAGTAATATATATTACACAAGTTAGAATTTTAATTAATTGATTTAACAACTTTAAAGCATTGTATAGCATATGATTCGGGTAAATAAAATAACGTTCAACTACTTAACTACTTCAAGTTGTAGTTGATCAACTACAACATGCAGTATTTACACAAGGGGCCTAAATAAAACAACTCTCGCAATACTTAAATACATCAACTTTGTTTTTTATGCTCTCTCTGAAACGCTTCTTAAAATGGAATAAAGGTTCGAGTGGCATATCCTTTTCAAGATGTTTCAATTCTGACTACAGGCATACTAATGACTTTCCAAAATTCCAGTATAAACTAGTAACTTTTCTGGATATTGTGAAGGTTTTTCTCTCATATTTGCAAGAATCAAAACACTCCTGACTCTCCAATTATATATGTTAACGCAACCATTAAGAAAGCTTGTATAATCTTCAGAAAATTCAAAATCGTCCAAATCTTTTCATCCGAGGGGCAAAAAATAATTATCTTGTACAAGACGAATTATATCCGAATGGAATTGATGGTCCTCTGAATATTACTATCTGAAATTTTAGTTTAGTTTATACCGCGTTTTCATCCCAAGCTTTTTAATTAAATTATTAAAAATGAAATGATTAAATATATAAAAATGATCATACAATACATTGTAAATGATTAAATAATATACATTAGAACAAAAAAATGCACCTACTTTTTCCTGCACTATAGAAACATAAGGTAGGATAAAAATTGCGTTCTTTCTACAACACAACAGTTCTCTAAACATCAGAATCTCTGCCACCAAGGTCTTTCCACCGCTGGTAGGTAAAGCATATATCAGATTCTTTTTACTTTCGATGGCAGGTAACCTTAAGCACTCATCTTGCCAATCTAAAATATGTACAGAACATATTAACAGCTTATGTGCATGAACATAGCTTCTATGTATCAAAGATCCTTTTCCTCTAATGCTATTAAAACATATAATGAAATACCTGAATTCATCAAAAACCTTAAATCTGCAGTAGGTTTTAAAGAGAGATCAAAAATTATCTATCAGAAAATTTAGTGCAGTTTTATGAACTTCTGACTTGAATATGTTTGTTATTTGGTACTATACTTTGTTTCAAGTTAAGGAAATAACATTACGCTTATGGAGATCAGTTTTGCCAAAACTCTCAGGCACTCTCTTTTGCACGGATGTCCAAGATATTCCCTTGGCATAATTTTTGAATTTCCATTTTCAATTAACATTTAACTGTAAAGTAAGAATAACTACTAAAGAACCACAAAGCCTTATTATCATTATGTAGTCAGAGAATGACATAAAATCGCTGACATATGCACACCATATTATTTTAAGTTGCAATTAGTAATTAGATATATGCATTCCAAGCGGTCCATTTATTTGCTTTTTAATCTTTAATAGCCAGCAAAATTCATGATTTAACTAAGCAATATTTTCTACTGATTTCTATGATTCATGGCATATGGTATTCTCACCAGAAAAACAAATAAGCTGTTGTTACTATAATTAAAATAAGATAAAATAAAATTATCTTTTGTAAATACTATTTATTTAATTAAAATCATTTTCCCTACTTTTCATCTCTTGTTTCGAATGGGCACTTTTGGTCAATTACGTTAAAAAACATTAATTTAATTCATGTCTGTGGAAACGAAAATACAAATTATACAATCCTGAATCGTGCTTGTGTTTGTCGTGGCATCGCCGCGCTTCTATCATCCATAAGAAATACATGGCCCTATCTCTGCAATGTTATTTTCTTAATGTGGAACGCTCATTAGCTTGAGTAGAGCAGCTATAAACTGGACTTCACTGATGATAATTAAAATAAAGTTCTTTTATTATTATTTTCCTTACTTTAGCAACTATCAACTGGTTAAGTATTAAGTAAAAATGCAAAAAAGTAATGAGCAGACTTCCTATCACGAGTTTTTACTTATCAAAATAATATTTTATTCAATATCTGCAGCTAATTACATACCATAAAGTTCTTCTATTCCTTTATATTGTTGTATTAACTGTTTAACTTTCAACGGAAGCCCATAAAATGGACCTAAATTCACAAACACTGATTTTGATTCATTAATTGATAAATTCAATACATCAACTGGCTTTTTTCTTTCACCAGGAGCCTTTGTAGAATTATTTATAAGTGCTTTTTTAATAAGGGAGCCAAAACTCAGATCCATTCTGGAAGTAACAATGGGGGAGTCTGAAGAACTGGGTTTTTCTGGCATTTCCTTTTTATCTAGAGATGTTTCAAAATCATCATTAAATATAATATCTAAGAATTCTTCAGGTATATTATATTTTGAGCTCTCTTCACCCATAGCACATATAGAGTTTTCGATTTGTTCAAATATATGATCCACTTCTTTCCTGTACTCAGTAGTAACTTTTTCATTTTCAAATAGTACTGTTCTTTCTCCTATTTCTTTATCAATCAATGTCTCGTTCATTGATTCTTTAGATTTGAGCCTTTCTTTAAAACACAACTTTAAAGGAACTGCAAATTTATGATCATCCACTTCTTTCTGAACCTGATTGATGTCATTACTTACTGAGTCATTTGCACACATCTGTTTAATGTTATTATTTAGAGGTGTTCTATTTTTTTCTATACTGATATCAATTTGATTTAAAGCTTGAGTATCAAGAAATTGAGATTGTTTGGTATCATTATTTACTGGATCATTTGCACAGATCTGTTTACTATTGTTCTTAAGATATGTAGTGTTTTTTTCTATACTGATAATATCAATTTGATTTAAAGCTTGAGTATCAAGAAATTGTGATTGTTTGGTATCATTATTTACTGAATCATTTGCACAGATCTGTTTCCCATTGTTATTTAGGGATGTATTGTTTTCTTCTATACTGACATCAATTTGATTTAAAGTTTGAGTATCAAGAAATTGCGAACCAAAAAGATCTTCATTGCTTGTACTAATTGAAGAGTTTACATCTTTTTTTAAAACTTTATCTTTGTTTGCATTGTTTTTAGGAGTAAAGGTGCCACTTAGGTAATTGGCAAATGCATCGAATTCATTCTTTTCTGCTGGGCTACCTAAAAAACAATAACTTAAGATCATAAATGTAATAATTAGGTGCCCAAACAAAGTATGTAAACTAGGCCAATCCACATTTATAAAAATCAGGTAGTGTTTAATAAAATTGTACTTACTCTTTTCTAATAATTTTGATATATTAACAGAATCAAGTGTATCTTGTAAACATTGTTGAGACTCTTCAATTGTTGAAGCATTCTCTAATTTTAACTTTTTCGATCCATGTAAGTTAAGTAAACTGAATTCAATATGTCTTTTATCAGAACTTGTAGTTGGAACTGAAGTGATTGTTTCAATAACATATTCTTCACAAGAATCTATAGAGCTGATACCACTAGAACTTTTTTGAAAGTAAATTGATTTTTTTCTTGGATCTTTCTTATTTTGTATTGAATTTTGATTTGATTTTTGCATCATATTAAACCTACCAGGCATGATTTGTTTTTTATTTGATTCATTCATTATTTTATTTTCTTTAAACGATAAAAACAAACTTATCCTTCGGTTTCAGCTGATTTCAATATAAATATAACCTACATTCTCCACTACATTTTAATTCAAAACTCTTTGATTTGTCCTCGCAGCCTACATACCAATCATTTCCGTTCTTGAGATTCTTTAAATGGACATACAAGCTGTGATTGGTCAATGTTAAAATATATCAGTGCATCATTTGTATCTGATCTCTTTGTGACAGCCATCTTTATCCATCCTACGAAAGAAAACAAAGATGTTAAACACGACAACACCAAAAGAATGGTAAATGTCAAAACAATTTTGTATTGACATTGACAACTGAAACTGACCACAATAATAGGGTGTGTAAAATTTCGTAATTTTGCTAAAATTTTACATTTTATAATTGGTAAGTTTGTTATATTATTGAAAAATAATTTTGTTTAGACAACAATATTTTTAATTTAATAGTTACAGCTGAGGTTAATTAAACGTTCATCCAAGTATTTAAACATTGTATTTAGGTAATTTCTATTTATATGTTAAATAACTTTGCGAATTAAAAAAAGCAAATTTATTAAGCAATGCCATATATTAGCAGTCGTATTAAAGTAATACTATTTTATATATGTGGTTTGTATGTAATATATTATTGAATGTGCTTCTGTATCAATAAGCTGTAGTATTATGACTGTATCAGTATGTTTTGAGCTGCGATTGTAGCAGTGTTTCTTGTATTATAAATGTTTATTGGTTTTTCAGTTTATTTGAAGAGTTGTAAAAATGTCACCGACCCCTATGCCTGGGTAAGCTTGACAATAGTGTTTAAACTAAAGACTAAACATTTTGGGTAACTGTATTTAACAATACTAAATCTCACTGCAAATTAGTAATATTATTGACTTTATTGAAAAGGAACTTCGATTATTGATTATTCAAAGTGGCAGGCACTGTAATAACACTTTACACTTAAATTAACACAACATTAATATTAAAATGACCTGCTTATAGTCTTTGGGGTTTTCGTTGGTAGCTTGTAGCTTTTTCTTTCTATAATAGTTTAGTACTTATGTATACACTGATTACAAACCTGTATTGGTATTAGTTTAGAAATCTTAAATACAATTTTAAACTTTATTTTCTAGTAGTTGTAATAGGTGAAATATTTTGTTCTGTAAGTGCTAAGGGCAGCTGTACCAATAGGCTGGGGTGGGCTAGGGATAAAATCTGACATGGATCGTGGCTGCTGATGCTCCCGGCTTCGTCAATTTAAGTTTATTTATCTATTTGTTTATTAACGGATATACCATTTACATTGGAACAATATATAATAGATAAAATTTTACAAAGTAAGCATAATATTGGAAAATAATTAGTAAAGTTTAACAAAAACTAATAAGTAATTGAGTACAAACTAATATCACACAAATAGCAGTATCTTTATCACATTTTTAAATTGTTCTAAGGACTGGAAAAATAAGTCCCGATCACTTTGGTACCTATTATATAGTCTCACCATATGAGTAAGAGGCTTGAAGTATTCATAATTAAATTGATGAAATGGTAGATGAAAGAACAAAGTATGCCTAGTTCCATGAAGAGTGTTAATACCTAATTGATTTAAAAGTTCATGGCAATTTATCAAATTATTAGCAATTTTGTAAAGGAATCTACTGGAAACCCCCAAAGATAGATATTATATCACGAGCCAGTAGGAACCAGGAAGAGAGGCAGGTCAATATTTAGATCTAAAAGATCTATCAAGATCTAAAACTCAAGTCGAAGATCACTTGAGGATTCTAGGGGTCAGAAATTGGAAAGCCAGGGCGAAAGATAGTGGAAAATGGAGACTAATTCTTGAACAGGCCAAGATTCACCCAGGGTTGCAGAGCCAAAGATGATGATGAAAGATGATTCAAAACCTCTTGGACCTTCATAAATATGCATGCCCGAAAAAATAAATGGACCCTAAAAACATTTACTATTTTAATTTCATAGGAACTTAGGCGACAGGGTGATTTGCAATGGAGTATTTCCAATAAACATGACATATTATGTTTATCTAATCTTAAACCTTCCAGTTAGTCATTGCATTTTTATTTTATGCCACATTGAAAGATTTAATAAAAATTTACGATTTCCTGTCTTCACTGCCGATAAGAATTGCTGTGTAAAAATGTAAAATATTTACATTGCACTAATTTGGCTTATAAATAAATAAAAAATCAATGTAAGATAGAAAAATAATGGAATTTTGGTTTTAAATTCAGCAAAATGTTTATTCGCTCCGTGCGTGACCATGGTAGGGATACATTGAAACGATGCCAGCGTGCGTAGCAGCGAAATATGACAAAATTGGAATATTGGACAAAATATTTTTACGCATAAATTTTATCAAAAATGTGTGCAAATACATGTTGCGTATTTAATTGTGCTAATAATAGCAAAAACAGTGAGTATAGTTTTTATAGGTTCCCAAAGATTACTTATAAATTAGAGAAAAGAAAAAGATGAATTCGTGCTATTAATATGAAAAAGTAAATATCACATAATTTCATTTTTATACAATTGAAATAAGAAAAATTTAAATAATTTACCTTGAATGATATTTCATAAGGCTTCAAGCTAACTGCAGATGACTTTGGCTTTTATATCATAACTTTTACTATTATTGTTTTTAATTATATGCTCTTTTGCGTGAAAAACTTGATTTTCCAGTACTAGATTTTTCCCTTTCTTTTCCGTTTTGAGTTGAAAAGATATATTATGATGAATTTTGAGAAACCCCAGTTTTTAATACTACATTTATTTTGTACATAAACTGAAAAAATATAGTTAGAACACTAATTTATTAATAATTGTCAATTTCGCATGTATTTAACAATGTCAAACATATGTCATATATTTAACCTGAAAATTGGGACCCCAAAATTGTCAGATGAAGGCGGTAGGTGTCGCGTCAGTCACGCACGGAGCGAATATGAGACGAAAACCTCGAATTCCTTGGGAAAAATATTCCCATAAGACTTTTTGCTTAATCACTTTCATAAAATACCACAGAATAATGTTCAAGAGGTTACTTATACAAAAAGTGGTCCTAGTTTATTAAATAGTTTTGTATAAATCCCGTTTAAGGTTGTGATAAGGGCCTCAAACAATTAAAAATAATGTTTTTAAATTAAATAAGCCCAAACTAAAGTATCAGAAACTGAGAGAACAAGGTTTGGTGAATTCAAAAATAATTGTGTGTTTTTGAGCCTTCAATCATCATTTTTCGTTTTTTTTTTTCAGTTTTAAATTGTTTATAAGTTGAAAACGATCAATTTTAGAGAAAAATTACAATTAACCTTTTTTATTTAGAATGATAAAACAAAAAATGATAAAATATTAAAAACGATTGTTAATAAAAAAAATAAATAAATAAATAAAAATATTAAAGCTATTTCACTAACTCAAAAACTAGTTCGTCTCTGTCTCGCTACGAAAGCGCACTGAAGAGAACTGCATGTTTTTAGCAATGCCTGATATTGTTTCGTTTGTAGATCAACGTCACTAAATGATTATGTCAAGCCCACGACATTATGAATTATACCTAACTAATGTATTATCCAGTTATCTAATTTATTATGAGTTTTAGTACTACTATAATTTAAATAATGCTCAAATTTTTTTTCAGTTAAATAATTATAATATGCCATGATGCAATAAAAGTCTTAACTTTAGATATTTATATGAAAGTGGCATGCAAGAACATTTTTGAGCTCTTGAGGAATTAAAAAGGTTTAACTTTTCTAAAACTCATCCACTTTTGGTCAATTAGAGTCAATGTTAATCTATAGATCCCGTATATAGGTGTACACTTAATGATACACAATACAAAGACTCTGCCTAAATGAAATTGACAGAATTCTTTTTTTTTTTGACAGTATCACATAAAATATCGGCCCACGTTGGCATTTTTTTTAACCAATTGCATTCGAGAAGTCAAGGTAATATTCAGAAAAAAGGTATATTTGAAATATTTTTGAAATTTCCATTCCGATATTTTGAATGAAGTATCTGGATGGAGAATTATGGTTTTATTATACAAACTTTGAAACATCTTCTTCTTCAGTGCCTTATCCGGTCTGGATGTTGGCGATCATCAAGGCTATCATGGTTTTGTTGACTGCTCTGCGAAACAGCTCCGCTGAGAAACATCCTGTGAAATAATTCTGTTTGCGAATTTTCGTAAAACCTTATTTTTCGCTTGCAACCATATCTCCTAAGCATTGTGTTTTTTGTTTCATGTCAAAATATGCCTTGGTTCATTTTTTAGAGCCAAATGAATTTGCCACCCACAATTTAGGACTTTTTTAATCATGATTATTTTGGAGTTATTTTGTAATATGATGAGGTGGCTTTGGTGACTGTTATCATTATGTCATATTGACACTTAACATTTTGTTTACCTATGATTGATCATGGTTCTTATTGTCGAATATTGTGGGAAACTGTTTGAAGATGGGCGAAATTATGCATATGTGGCTAGAATACTACACACTCATCGCTCTACCATCCAAAGGGTAGTGGAACGTTTTATACGAACTGAAACAAACAAGCGTAAAGCGGGCAGTGGCAGGAAGCGCAAAATTACCACTTTAACATCGGTGCAAACAAGAAATCGGCTTCAAGAGGTTCGAGGCAATAATGTGAGTGTATTTACAGTTCGTTGAAGATTACATGAATTTGGTTTGCAAAGTTGCAGACCAGCAACTAGGCCCAAATTACTTCCACGGCACAGAGTGGCTAGACTACAATTTTCCAGGAAAAATTTACATTGGAACTTAGGACAATGGAGTAATGTTCTTTTTACGGTTGAGTCGAGATACTGTCTTCACTCATCAGATGGGAGAGAGCATCGCCAGATCTGACCCAACAGAGCACATTGGGACATGCTTGGTAGAAATATTAAAGGTCGCGAAGTCGCACCAGTCCTCACTTAATGAGCTTCGCTTGGCTCTAGAAGAGGAATGGCAAAACATCCAGCAAGATGATATTCGCAACCTCATAGACAGCATAAGCCGACGTGTACAGGCAGTTATAGAGGCTAGGGGAGGGAATACAAATAATTAAGTTATTTTTTAGTAGTTTTTCTTTGTTATTTGCGTACTAAGGTCAAGTTACATTTAAGTTGTTTTTCTATGATTTGTTATTATTGTTCATTAAAACCAAGATCATGTTGTTACTTTTAATCATTATTTGAATACAGCGCTT